AGGCTATACAGAGATTGTGCAGCTGCTCTTGAAAGAAGGCGCCGATGTCAATATGCAAGGCGGGCGTTATGGGAATGCCCTGCAGGCAGCTTCTGCTAGAGGCCATACAGAGATTGTGCAGCTGCTCTTGCGAAAAGGCGCTTGTTCATACTCTCCAGAATACTAAGGGCTTCCAGCAATGTCAAATGTTTGTATTCAAAGAGTAATAATTCATAATCAATTCTTAACATTAGACCAGAAGAGAAGAATCACAGTAAATTAACCGAGTTACATATGCATACCCCGTCATCGTATATCATAAAATGACTTATATTTTAGCAATGCTCTTCAGTCTCTCGAGCAGTACAGTATACAAGGATTCAATCTCAGTTCTAGGAACCAAGATGGATAAATGCTCCGTCAATAATCGAAGAATTGTTGGATACGTGCCTGCAGACCTTCCATAAAATTTAATATTATCAGATCACCACTTGAGGATTTGGCTTCTCTTTTTTCGCTGACCCGACACCTTTGCGAGTGAACCCCCCTAAATACTACACTCTCAGATATTTAGATGTATTCTTGAGGGGTTTGGAATAGGCCCTCAAACTTCGATCACATGGGACTTAGTGAATCTCTTCGAGTCACCACCAATCAATGAGTCAGTATCAGCCGTAGCACAATCGACTCTCTCTCTGCCTTGCTTATGATTGAGGATGACTTTATACTAGCTCCAGCCATTACTAGCCTGCCTTGTTAGGTAAAGGAGTACATCAATGAAGGACCATATCAAACGTGGTCTTCTACTTTCTTCTATTGTCTAAACTCTGCCCCTCAAGGGTCTAGTATTAGTCTGATATTTCTTTTGATAGTTCTTGCCACCGGTATGCTTACTAATGGATTTTATTAGCATCAGATGCCGGGAGCGAGAACCTTTAGTTTTAAGAGAGGATCGCTGCTTGGTTGACAGACTTTTTACCAACGGGTGAGGGCCTTACCTATTACAACTCATTACGAATTTCGACCAGCATATGTGTATTTTGCGGGTAATACCTTCTGGATATAATGCAGCATATAAGACAATTACTTACACAGATTTTAAGTTACACCATCCCGCTCAATCATTTATCCACACTAACTTCTTGGCGGTGGGGCCGAAAAAGAATCAAGACGTGTTTTGTTGGTCAAGGCAATTTCGAGATCCTCTATACTGGCCATGTATACTCTGAGGGTTGGCAGAGGCTCACCGATAGACTCTAGGGCAATCACCAGAAGTACGGTGAAAGGTATAGGGGTCAAGCTGACAAAGTCCAGAGGCAGATCTGAAACATGGACTTACCTAAGGTCTTGAGCCGATGCTTGCAATTCCCCGGGGAAGACGTTTGAAGCCTTTGAATGTGAATTGGCTCACCCTACACAGGTATGTGCATATGATTCATTCAGCGATTGCACACTTCCTTCCGTAATTATTGACCTAGGAAGCTTTAATCAAAAGACGGTCTGGAAAGAATGATAGCTCGAGAGGATAGTACTTAGAAGACTACACATGCTTGTTATCAGTCTTATAGAAGACCCAAGGCCAGCTCCCCTCGGCAACTGTGCCTGGAAGCCGCCTCGAACGGAAGTCAACTCAGTCCAAAAAGTGTTCAGAGTGAATGAACTTCACTGTGCCAGGCTCAAAACCTCTAAGACACGAAACTGTCTCTTGTACGCACGACAGCATCAGGCCGCGCCTCGTCAAAGAAACCTACATATTCCATTTCTCAAACCTAGCCATCCTAAAGGCACTATGCAAACATTGCTTTTGATGGCGCCCTACCAGTATGCGTTCTCTTAAACCGCGGTTTGACCGCAGCAGCATCTATCCAGCACCGAACCACAGTCCACGTACAACAATGAGATCCACGCGTGACACCAAATCTACACCCCGCCAAGAACATTCAGACGAAGGCCCCATAAATAACCTCAGCAGCCTCCCCGAGATATGCGAAAAACTGTCCACCCTAGAAACCACAGACCAGGTGCTCGCATTATGGGCTGATGGAGTCGGAGCGCGCGTTGCCCGGATCATTCGATCATACGGGTGAAGTTGGATGAGCCGCGCGCACAATTGCGAGCCGCAGCAATGAAGCTGTCGAGAAGCCACATTCGCACCCTCACCGTTCTTGATCTACCATGCGAGATTTTGTTCATGATTCTGGGGCATTTTCGGGACTCTGAAGATTCCGGAGAGAATGCGGATGAGGGCCGACTGCAGCGGCAGACTATGCTTAGTGCGAGGTTGGCGTGTCGGGTTTCGGGTGCTGTGGGTAAGAGGATGTGAGCAAGGGGACCAATGAGTGAGTGCCTTGTCGGCTGCGTCTCGGATTACCAGCGGTAGTAGCAGGGATAGACCTAGGGCTTCGATTCGTGGCGTGCAGTCATGCGTGTAGGGATGTATATTGAGAGCCACCGGATCTGTCATCTTCTGTCAGCTGCATACAACTTGCAGATATATGGTTTGATTCTACGTCATTTCGAGAAAAACTCATGTCAAGATGGGAATGTTCATTGTGTGATAGAAGAGCCCTGGTCGACAAATGAGACATTGATACTGATTCGCAATCCGACAGAGTATGTCACAGCCACCAAAAAAATGGCGTTTTTGACAACAAGCATCCCCCCAAGCAAGGCAGAGAAAGACCAACATAAACCCCCCGCTTCCAGTAAAATCATTCCCGTGCGTTCAGCTAGTCCTTCCGCTCTCCGCCTTGAACCAGCCCAGCCACTAGCCCTTGCAGCACCAAACGACCCGCCCGTCGCACTCACTCATGAACACTGCAATACCAATAGGTAGCCCCGGCATGGGAGACCCGGGACTCGCAAATGGTCTCGCAATCGCAGATCCAGATCGTCTTATAATTTTTGACTTGACACAGGGACCCCAGCCCGCCGCAGTAATGCTTTTCGTCGGCCTCAAGGGAGGTCTCCTCGTCCTCAAGAATTTGGATCTTCAGAGGATTGGCGAGGATGCAGGTGATGAGGATGGGAAGGAGGAAGAATGAGGGTTTCATTTTGTCTGAGGTGAGAGAATTGTGATAAAAGTGGTTTGGAGCGGGCTTCTTGGAGCAGAGATGGACAAACAAAACCAGTTGATAGCGGGACACTGTCTGGATTTATGCTCGTGGTTCAGCATGCCTCTAGATTCTCAGAACTGAGGGTCGTCGCCATGATTGTTCCGTTTTGTCATCTTGCGTCTAGGGTTGCTTATTCCGTCATACATGGCTTTCCCCGGACCCCAGACCGTTGAGATTCGGAGATTTAGGAGTCCAAGCGAGAACCAGCCGACAAAGGAAAGCACTACGACTGAAATATTGATGAAGACCCCGCCTGGAGCGAGAAATCATTGTAAAATCTGGCGAGCGGCGCATTTGTGATGTGCAACTCACGATCTCAGATCAAACAGCTTGGCAATCTGGCTCAGGATATCAGGTATCGAGACGTTATCTCGACACCCTCTGTCAAGCCATGTTCTGGATGCAAATTGCCACAAGCCTTGGCTTCGCCGGTGCGTCCTGGATGGCATCCGACCAGAATCAATAGTTAGCCGCGCCTTGGAGGACCGTTGGAGATTGACGGTTTGTGGATCCATGATCCCTGCCCCGCTCTCCCTCATTTTCGACGTGATTCTTAGTAGCTCTACCAGGTAGCCTCGGACTTTGGCAGTCACACATCACACAGTTGAAAGCAGAGAGACGACGAATCCGACTAGCGGTGATGATGTACTTTCTGGGCGTCTAGTCAGAGACCTGTTTGGCCCGCGCATATAGTGAGTCAAACACGATCAACAAGTGGTTCTGAATAGCTTCACACCACTCCGGGCTCATAATCTTTCGGCTCTAGGGAGTTCTGATGATGAACGCTGATACGAAGCTGTATTTGGAAAATCTGCGAATATGGATGGTACCCGATACAATAATGGAAGGAAGGTGGTGAGAAAGGCTGATACTAGTATCCCCTGCTTATGAACCAAGCTGAATCATGTGACTCGCATAACGGCGTTCAGCCTCTCATTGCAGCAGCCGACATGCTAGTGGATCTACCTAGTACAGACTGCTGCACCAGAGAGCTGACAGCCCCCAAACATCCATGACCCATGAAAGACACGGCATCGTAATCTCGCCTATACGTACGCACCGGGCCGGGGGGACGATAAGCGATAACCAAAACTGCAAGTGGGCGTCGTATCATTGGCTCGGGAGGAATGACTGCATTGTGATGGCTGCCCCACACTGCACCGCGCCCGTCATTTGGACTAGCAATGGCAAATTGTCTCGGGCTTCCGTGGTCAACGCACTGATTTGCTGTGCAAGAGGTCTGAGATACCACGGATGCTCAGTTTGATTGACTTTATTGAAAATCGTCGGTTTATCTAACCAACCCGATCGGCTTTTTCTGAATTCATATTTGCTAGGTAGTTATCTGTCACTAAGGTTACTAATACTGTGCTGTAACTAGCTACCTACTACCACTGACAAGCAGCATGAACCACTAAGAAATGCACTAAATACAGGCACGCGACCTTAGCTGAGGCTTGGCCCCCAGAGCAGCGGAGGCAGGGCTTAGCTGACTAGTGAGGTCCGTGTCGCTCATTTCCAACCACAGTTCAAGGGGCGAAATACGAGATTTAAGACGAGGGGCAAACTACACAGTATGGTATCTTAGGGCTGGCCAGACCCGCCGATGAGAATTAGCTCGCTCGACCCACTGCCCGTCCAGAAAAAGCCTCAGCAATCAGCCCTACTTTAGTGCGGATGAGAAGGCAGAAAGATGAATCGCCCCTTATTGGCCTCTAGGTGGTTCCATTCCAAGGAATAAGTAGACCCTCGGGCCCTCGTGGCCCCTCTCGACAACCTGTTAACAGTGCAATGGATCGACACCAACCCTAAAACCCTTTGAAGGGCAACGTCACCTCCCAGGCAGAAACAATCCGGATTCTGGCAGCTACTGCAGTGCTCTGCTGCTGCTGCTGGTGTGTTTTGTGCTGCACACGCGCCCGCCCATGCATTTTCCACCTCCATCGACACCATGCTGGCTTGGTCAGAGCCCAAGCTGCTGCTATCGCAGAAGATGAGTCTTTTGACGACTCTGTTCAACCCGCGCAATTTCCGGCTCGTCATCGCCGCTATCGCGACGACATGCATCCTCTTCGTGCTCCTGTTCTTCCCGCGGGGCTCCGCCGCTTCTTTAGACATGACCCGATTTCCCGACCTCAAAACCACCCAACCCCCCATTACCGCGACAGAGACCACCCACGCTAACCTCACAACCGCCGAAGTCACTCTCCTCACCGACCTGACGCAGTACTTCACTGACTACCCGATCGAGAAGCCCTTCAAAGAGCGATACGGTGAGCTGGGCCGCCGTCTACGCATCGTGCGGGACTGGCTGACACTGGCGCAAACCACCAACAACCCGACCACGCGAGCGCTTTACCAGGATGCCATCGAACAAGTCGTCGCCACGCAATTCCCCTTCCTCACGCACCCTTCCCACCCGGCCACCACCACGCACCCGCTCGCGACCCTCCGCGCGAGCTTCACCGCGCCAAGTGCCGGGATCGTCATTCCCACCAGCGACAAAACCGTGCGGTACGCGGCTCATTTGATCGGGGCCCTCCGCTCGGTGCTCAACTCCACGCTTCCGATCCAGGTCGTCTACGCAGGGGACAGCGACCTCGCCGCGCGGAACCGCGACCTACTCGCCAGCTTAGCGGGCCCATCGCCGACGGCCCCCACCATCGAATTCCTCGACATTCTGACGGTGTTCGACGACGCCACCCTCCAGCTTCAGACCGGAGGGTGGGCGATCAAGGCGTTCGCGGCGCTAGCCTCGCGGTTCGAGACGGTGATCCTCGCGGACGCGGACGCGGTTTTCTTCCAGCAACCCGAAGTGCTGCTGGAGCACGAGGCATTCGTCCAGCGCGGGGCGCTGCTGTTCCATGACCGGCTCCTGTGGCAGTATGCGTTCGAGGAACGACATCAGTGGTGGCATTCGCAGATCCGGCGGCCGAGCGCGGTCATGAACGACTCGCGCGTATGGGTGGAGAAGTACGCCGAGGAAGGGGACTCCGGGCTGGTCGTGCTCAACAAAGGACGCGCGGAGATTTTGGTCGGGCTGCTGCACGTCTGCTGGCAGAACTCGTACGAGGTGCGCGAGGAGACAACGTACAAAATCACGTATGGCGATAAGGAGAGCTGGTGGTTTGGGTTGGAGCTGGCGGGGGCGGAGTATGAGTTCTCGCGGCATTACGGGGGCATTGTGGGGTGGGAGAGCCCGGTCGAGCGGGGCGCTCAGAATGTGGTGGATGGGGTGTGCAGTTTTGTGATCGCGCATGTGGATGCGCGGGATCGCTTGCTGTGGTGGAATGGGAGTTTGCTGAAGAATAAGGGCCAGCTCGGGATGGAGAATGAGTATCAGGTGCCGGAGAAGTGGATGATTGATGCGGAGTGGGTCAAGGGGGCGAGGAAGCAGGATGCGAGTTGTATGGTGAATGGGGTTATTCGAGATTTGACGGGGGAGGAGAAGAGGGTCTTAGAGCGGTCGATTGAGTTGGCCCAGTCGCTGGATAAGTTGGTACAGCTGGGATGAGTGGCTTCAAAACGGCCCCCTGGAAGTTGACTGGAACTGTCTCGACTGCCGCTTGCATGCTACATCTCCATCCAACTGCGTGTTGTTGGAATGCGGGAATGAACGCCATACATACACAACAACTTTGTACATACATATGATATCCGAATCAATAGTGGTCTAAATACCCATGCTCATCCGCAGGCAAGAATTGATCCACACTTTACGGCATTGCGTCCCAAGATTTCCAGTACGTATGGCGGGAGAGAACAAGAACAAACAGTCCGCCGCGTAAAGATATTGGAGGAAGACAAGGGACATAGCCACGTGAGGGCCGACCGAAAATCAAGGCCTAACTAAGAGATAGACAGGCATATGCACCGTCTCATCTGCACCTGGGCTTTCTAGAAAGTTGGTACAGTAGTAAGTACCGTCACGAAACCGGTGCATCGAAATCCAGGCCGTGCATCAATTTTTGCAGCCTATCATCATAGAGAGAAATAAAACAGCCCAAGCAGAGCAGTTCGAGTTTTGCTAGCTAGGACAGTACAGTACCATAATGAGGCTGAGACATTAGCATGGTGGGTATGTTCCGGCGAGCCTACTCTAAATTTTGGCCATGACTACAAATAGCCTTAGTCTGGGGGACGAAAGGCTATCTGGTTTCCTCACCGTTAGGTGGGTCGCTACTGCGTAAATTGTCCACCTGGGTACTCTGATGCTAAGAAGTCTACAAATTTCGTCTTCAAGAAGTGATGAGATAAGACACAAGATTTATTCGACATCAGTGCAGTAACTTGAAATGTCGTAATTTGCAGGATCCTAGACGGTAGTTACATGAGCCATTATTTGCTATTGACCTTGTTATGGCCGTTCGCAAGCTCCAAAGACTGGCGGACATTTGTATCCTTGGAGGTGACAGAACGGTTTCGCCAAGTCTGGGCCATCTTCCGAACGACACTGGAACTGGATGGTTCTCGCTTAATCTCGCTCCGCGCCTTCGAAAGAAAATGTGAAGAGCTGGCCAGCTGGATCACAACCGAGTAATCGATCACATTGTTATTCTCGATGGAAGAGAGACGAGGAAACACTGTCAGAGTATCGGGCTCTCGAGGATTGTGCTTGCTACCTGATGCTGATCGTTCTTTATCGGGGGCGTCGAAAGCGATCCAGTCCTCATCGGACTCAAGTGGGTCAAAGTCGGGCTCATACATTCGCTTGGAACGTCTGATTAGCTGCCAGACTTCGGCAGCCTTCCGTACTATTACTTCTATCTCCGAGTAAAGTGAAGCGCGTTGCGTGTCAGGGAGTATGTCATCAATGTAACACAGTACATTGCTAACAACATTTTTAATAGTGGTCTGGAGCGACTTATCCTGCATGTCTGGATTGATAGATTGCAATAGAGAGCGACAGAACGATTCTTTCTCAAAGTCGGTCCTAGCGAGATATTTGAGAGTTTGCCGTATGCGTGGGTCCGTAGGCAGGATATAAACGGGCTGGAACACATGCTGGTCAATCTCTCTAGCGAGAATGGCGAGAACTAATGCCGACCGGACCTGTTTCGCTGCTTGAGAATTGGAATATGGCAAAGGAATTCGGTGAGTTTGAGCAAGGTGAGACTCCTTCAGTTTGGACCATGCAGAAACATTCTAAAGAGTAGTTAGTTTCTGTCCAGAAATGCCACGATATACATACTTGAAAACTCTCGGGCGGCAAGTCAACGGCAAATGCAGAATTCAACTTCGTTTTCGCGAGTTCCCATAATCCTGTGAAACTGTCTATCCTGCACGAGAATTAGCAGATGAGTGAGCTCACACGGAGGAACATACAGGATATTTTCTTCACTATCAATATGACCAACAGTGAACCCCTCAACCCGGCATAGTTTGGCTTGGACGTCAGCAAGGGTAGATTTTAGGTTCTGGTTCGCTTCCTCGATGTCCGAATTGAGTTTCTCTAGCCTTGTCAAGCGATCGGTCAAATTAACCTTGTCTGTTTTGAGACCGGTGATGATTGTATCTTTGGCCTCGATTGTGCCTTGCAATGTGCCACATTCCTGCTTCGTTCGCGCCAGATGATCCGCCTGTTTCTTCATTTCAGCTGTCAGCTTTTTTATTTGGGTATCTCGATCACAAAGGCCTCGGATCTGCTTTTCAACCAGGCTTTCTTTCTCTTGAATAACCTTTTCGAGTTTCTGTACCTGGACTATTGTCTCTCGGTGCTGGCTTTTCGCTTTTTCATTGACTTCCAACATCCCGTCGATGGTCGCCTCTCTTTTCTTAACCTTGTTACTCATGTCATCCAGCCGACCTTGAAGTTTCCTGTTGTCTTCGCAAATATTCATAATCATTTCAAACCCGACTGACGGAGATAATGCTTTAAGTTGATCGAAGAAGCTCAAGATAGTCTGGGCTTCGGGAACTAGACTTGAAGATGCCGCGGCTGCCATACTTGGGTTTTCGCAAGTCATAGCTGACATTGAAACTCAGAGAATACGTAAAGGTATGTAGGATACACGACAGACGTTGCTATTCTGTTTACCTTGAGCAGACTACCCCAAGAAAAAAAACAAGCAAGGTCAATCCAGATTATTTATCATAAAGAGCAGATCAAGACTACTTGCAAAGAGCCATCTTATCTCTCAATCTCATTTCACTCTCCATCGAGTTCGCTTGCCTTGATTCAAGGCGAAAGTGAACAAGGGAGTTGTGGCATACTCCATGTGGCTACCACACCACCGGTATCGAGATTGTCTGATCGCTCTCGCTTTAGGTCCTCTGGGGTGCCTTCCAGGTCAACAATATCAGATGTCAAAGGACAGTGATATGATTGAAGCTGCCTTAGGCTGGCTTTTTCAAAGTGAGGCTATGCAACGTGTCGCTCAGACAGGCGGGTACCCCGCAGTTCCTCGTCAGTCGACGGGGAATTCCTCCCGAAAAAGGGTCGGAATGGCCGGATGCATCTTAATTGGTGGAAAGCAGCTCGCCCATTGATGTATCAGAATTAGCAAACGCTGTCGAGCCTGCCAGGATAAACCTCACGAATGATAATTGCTCTCAAATAAACTGTGCAAATAATGAGGGTCGGAATGGGGTATCTAATATAATCCCCGCTGGCATCAGCTCGCAAAAAAGTACATGTTCTCGAATTGTGCCAACAGAAGCATGAGAACAATCTGATTCCTGACTAAGAAACGTCGGTTAAGATATTTGAGGCCATTAAAGCGCATAACACCAAGTTTTGCATGGAAGCTGACCAGCATTTCTCGATGCGACATACGAAACTAGACCTCTATTATAGGCAGGCACCATGGAACACCAAGCGCGCCAAGCAAGCTGTTGATGGGAAACAGGGAGGAAAAACATTTCAACGAGCACAGCACAAACACAGTAAGCTTAGATAAGCGGTGTGTACCCGTCCGAAAAGAATCCGCTTGGCTGCGTTGGCTTACTGATTTTCTCAAAGATCGTAATTATCACCCGTCCATCTAGCAGAATATTGCGTGAACTGGTGCTTTTGCTGTGTACTCCGCCATGGCGGAGACTGTGCTGGGCTCAGCGAAATCATCATACGGGAGCTCAAAGCGGGAAAATCTTTCAGAAGATCATGAAAAGAACCCTGTAGCCGCAATTTGTCTATACTATAAGCGGCATACTGAGCCAGCCAGTCCAACAAAGTATCCTCATGAGAGAGCCTGGAAAAAGATAGTCGTAAAGCATCAATTACTGCAAGTTGCCTATCGAGTCCATCCGGCTTGTCCAGGTCCGCGAAACAGGCGGTCGCTTTTTCGTAGGCTAATTTTTGAAGTTCAGGAATAATATAAATATGTGAGAATATATAAAGCCGAACGTGGACGAGGAGAGGATGATTCTCCGAGGTAAAGTCCGTTTCTGGACTTTTTGTTCCAGGCTTATCCTCGATGTCTGTGTCGACCTTGTCCGGGATAAATGGGGTCGGAAGAGGCTCCAAAAGGGTGATTGAAGTAGGATAATCCCCTCGATATGCCCATTCAATAAACCGAGCCACTGTTCCCTCTTTCACATCTTCAAATTCGTACAGGGAGTCCCGTCCTTCTTTGAGCGTACTATCCAAAGCTGCAATTAGTGGCCTGGACTTCGATTGAAGCAGTTTCCGATGAATTCTAAACGATCGTCCCGTCTGACGAACTCGAAGGGACACGAAATCCGAGTCCAAAAAGCTGACGAATGTAAGCATCACCTATATTCATATTGAAGAGAGACATACTCGATGTATGCTATCTCTGTCCCTGACATATTTTCGTCAGCTGATTGAGGTGAGGGTGAGGTTCTGCGTGCAAGAGGTGAAGAATAGTTTTCTAGATAATCAGACTGTGAAGCTTCTCTCAAAGGTAGCAGCGAGCTTGAACTATCGCGCTTCTTGTTCTTTTTGCGCACCATTATATCACTACCCGACGAAAACAAAGAGCATCCTACTGGTTATAAAGTATCTGAGTTCCGCTGACCAATACGTGTTCTGTTTCTATTGGTTGAGGATTATGATTCCCGGTTTAAAAATTGTGGTGGTCTAGCCACGTTATACTCGATCGCGTTGTTTCAAGACATCTGAAAACGAATCATTGCAGAGTAAACACTTCAGTTCTGCCCAAGTAGATGCATAAGCCTAGTTCACGTTGATGTAAAGCCAGCTCGGCCTGGGATGGACCTTGGGCATAAAAATGCGAGGTCGGTGATCGGTGATTGGTAGGTACTTTATCAATTCTATTCCACAGACATTTTAGATCGGAAAGTCCCGTGAGCTTGCTTTTATATTCCAATGGTCCAGAAGAATTGGTTCGCCGCCATATTAAAAGAAAACTCCTGGCGATTACAGGCTTGGCGGGCTGTCCGTAGCTAATAAACTTACAGTTTATCCTAGCTCCCTAACCTCTATATTAAGCGATGGACCAGGCGCTCGATGGGGCCCCAAAACGAAGCAAATAACATAGTAACTGATACACCCAGCCTAACTAATTACCTTTAAACTATTCTTATCTAAGCCGCAGCGGACTGTTAGCTTCGTACACCCTCGAGTAAGCGCGAATATAGAAAAAGGATTATTGCAAGCTGCCCGCGGAGTATTATTTACTGATCAGCATAGTAGCTATAACTAATTATAGTACCTCTGCTCTCTAGACCCACTTTAGTCCCTCTCAAAGTCGGACCATATATTCTCATTTCAGTCTTCCATAATTACGATAGACCTTTCAGTCCCAGTTATCTGATTGACAAAAGTGAGCCTTGAATACGGAGTCCGATATGCATTTCAGATACAACGATACAAGGATAGTGAATAAGAAGAAAGCATACTAAAACTGATTCAATACACAACGCTTTCTTCACGATTGGTTTTAGTGTGTACTTTCCAAGCAATCGTTTTGGAGATTCCAAAGACTCATCTGCTGCACTATCCTCATTGACTGACCAGCAGGCTACGGATTCAACCGGGCTCTCTCCCTTGGAGTTGTTTTAAAAAAAATTCATAGCAACTTCGATCTTCCGTTCGAAATTCGTTTTCGTTATGGGAAATTTCAGAGTTCCCGGCTTCTACGCTTTCAGGTGGGCTCTCTCTTTGGGTTGTCAAGAACTCATAGAAATTTTGATCTTCCGTTCGAAATTTTGTGTTCGTAGTACGAGATTTGAGAGCTCCCAACTTCTTGGTTGATGTTCAGCGATTGGAAAGACTGAGGCGATAATGTCAGAGAGTCTGCAACAGAATCCACATTTATTAAGTCTGCAACCGATGTCTCGAAGCCATCCAGACTGGGTCCGCTTCTGAGGGTCTCGATCTGCGGAAATAATGGGTTGGCGGTTCGGGTGATGGGCTGAAGTAACTGAGACAGGATATTCTGGAAGCCATCTTCGAAAGGCGTCAGGTTTGCTCCAAGAAAGGCACCGAAGACAAAACGGCGGACAAACCAAGAAGTCAGATGGTTCGCCTGAGGGAACTCATCAATAAAGCATGGCAAGAATAAAGTCGATTTGTCATGTTCCTGGGCTTGCAGTTTGGGCAGACCACAGCGAGCTTGGGCTTTTACGGGTTTGCTTAAAGTAGGTTGTGTTGCAGTCTCGCAAGCAGGTCTAGCGGCCGCAAAACATTTCCAAGTCGATCAATCAGGGTCTCAAAAGTGTCAGCATCGTAACGATACCGGTCAGGTTTCTGAGCTTGAAGTAATGCGGTACGCGCGATTTGGTGGTCCGGGGAGGCATTAATTATTGTGTTAATCTCGGTTGATCTGAAACCTAAACGATGGGCAAGCTGAGCCATGTTATAGATGGCGTGCTGGTCGGCTGGAGCAAGTTTTGGTTTGGCTAAATGATGGTTCTGTTTCTTCGGATCGGGCGGCATACAGCCAGAGCTGGCAGTATCCGAAATTGAATTGCTGAGCACTCACCATGTGCACTTTCCGATACTCGTACTCGGCAAATTGAATAAGATAATCGTTTATAGTATCTGAAGCCACAATGAATATTTGTTTCAATGATTAATGAATAGATACCTCAGATGGACCTACCAGTCGCTTGAGGCAGTAGGCACAACTTTCCAGGTACTTAAAATCCTCAAAAAATGTGCGCAGTGAAGGTATGAGACCTTAAGTTTGAATCCCTTGAGTCGGTCCCAAATTTCTGTCCTCCTGTCTTCTCGAAATCGGGAAATACTTGACCAGTCAAAATCATTTGTTGTGCTGACTTAGCATCATCGGGAGATGTGCCGGACGCGAGTAATTCAAGCTTCTTAATTGATTTCTGATCGATACATTTCTTTGCGTTTGTGTCATCATTAACCAGTGAAGACCAGAAGCGATGGACACGGTTCAAGTAAGCACAAATATTCTGTAAATAATGTTAGATGATATGAGATCCGAGAACAAAATAAGCAGTTTTCAGGCAGAAAGAAGAAGGTCTCAGGGAACAATGCAGACTTTGTGTTGGCGTACCTCCGGGCAACTGATTGCGACTAGTCTATATACCATACTCAGCCTCATCCCGTCCATCCAGAGACCTGGGATATCCAGTAGCTCGTCGAAGGCTTTTCGAGCCAGTTGTTATTGACAATTTGCTCCCAGCGTTGGCGATTGAATGATGATAAATGGGCCTTCCACCTTGTCCCAATATAATGGTCATCGTCAAATTGACGGATTTTGCGATAGGTATACCCATCTGCATGTTCTCGGTTAAGATCGTACTCTTCAACTAGGTGATCCCTTAGAGCATCGTCAACATCTATTACCAAGCATTCATTAGCATTCAATTTCTGCCTTTCTTACGATAGCAGTAACTTACCATCCAGATAGATATCCACGACCCACCACTTGTCGGCTGGAGCCAGAAAATCAGCGGCCGCATAAATCCGATGACGTCAATGAAGACCCTTGATCTGGTTAGGGTTGAATGTTATCGAAGATTAATGGTCTGTTCGATTGTTCTTGAACCATTCGGGGGTCATCTCAATTCTGGCTAATGCTTGAGAGATGGCTTCGCTGGAGGCCAGGGCCGGGATATAGTTCTCGACATCTAGCCTCCGGCAGCCGTCTTCCTTCCAAGTCTGTTTGAGTTTATCTATTTTCTGCCGCTCCAAGCCTATAGACAGTGGTAGATTGAATTCTATTTCCTTAAGTCTGACCCTGGCGGTATCTTGGTACTTCAGTCGACGCTCAGTGGCCACGTGCACTTCTCTGGTAGTGAGCCAATCTTGCTGCATGATGAAGGAGTTACAATGAATGATGATGAGAGATCCAGTGGCAATGGGGATGTGTTGACGCTTGACTTAAACCTCGACGTGACCGTAAAATATCATCTTCCATCCTCACTTTTCGGGGGGCATCATGAAATTTGAACATATTATCACTTTAAAAAAAACTTGTATTCACGCAAGTCTTTATCTTTGAAGAGGACATCACATTTTTGTGGTAAGTATAGGACATGCATGTTTGAGATAGAGTGGTGGCCATTTCGATTGCAAATCACTGAATCTATTCATTGCCAGCATGGTCCAGTACACATTAAAGTTACGTACCTCAAGCTTACGAAGAATAGAAGATTGAATCAGAGGTTCTCATAGTCATTAATAGTGTACAAATCCTGAGGTCTAGTCATTTAGGGAGGTGTCGCTAGTGCAAGAGCTGGGGGGAACACACGATCGGGTGTACATTATCCGTATGGTCAACCCGAGAAATGCTGTCTTCTATTTCGTCTTGAATTAGATAATTGATTATGCTATTGTGACTCGGTATTATTAGTCGCTAGCACTTGTAGAAGTTGAAAACCTTTCTGAGACTAAGTAGCTAGAGATTTTGACCCATGTTTTTCCGTATCAAGGTACCCTAACGCCTACAAGGCGGTCCCTGGTTGAGACATTGGCTAAAGTAGTGCAGGATATAGTGTAGGCAATACTTCAAAAGTAAATGCAACTTAAGATAATTTCTCCAGATTATACTCTGCGGTGGGCTTCAGTCTGCCCCTCAGTCTCAATGTTCTTTGCTTTGCACTTCTTTTGGCTTCCTTCTGCGCTTTGACCCGGTTTTCTTCTTGGCATTGGGTTTCTTTTGACCTCTTTCCTGCGCCCCGGTCCGGATTGTCTTCTTCGCTTCGCGCTTCTTTAGAGCTTTCTTCTGTACTTTAGTCCTGCTTTTCCCCTTGGCATTGGGCTTCTTTTGAGCTTCTTCCTGCGCCTTGGCTTGGACCTTCTTCACTTTACGCTTCTTTTGAGCTCCTTCTTGGGCCCTGGGCTGGATTTTCTCTGCTGTGCACTTTCTTCGAGCTTCCTTCTTCGTTGTATCCCAGACGCTTTTATCAAGGTCGAAAATGCTTGTTAGAAAGATTTCTGAAGATTGTTTCCTGCTTGACCTCATTGTCAAAAAAGGCTCACCTGCATCATTTGAGTCTGGTCTCAATTGGCAACGCTTGCTAGCTTCGTTGTCTTGTCGCAAGGTTCTGATAATCACTGTAAAAAGAATACAGGCCGAGCTCAAGACTGCAAATCTTATCATTATGACGAGTAATAAAGGCCATAGGATAGGTGAAGGAAGGCTGTCCGGGGGCACCTATATAGTTTGTGAGCATCAACGCGACAATAGGATGTTTTCTGCCAAACCTTTGATCTCTCGTTCCGCTCAGTGGCCCTTTCACTAGGGATATGCTGTCCTGATTGAGTGATCAGATCTTTCAAAGGTAGCTTGTCTTTGGACTCCCCAATAGACCTCCATCTTTTAGACGTATATTTCATTCCGAATTGCTTAATCCATTTGAAAGATTTGTCATCAGGCCATATTTCGTATGGGCATCTTTCGCCGCCCGGAACAGTCGGATGGATATTAATGATCATTTGAACTGCGCAATGGCCAAGAAGTCCTTGAATGATTGGCTCTTCTATCGATTGGTAGTTTGAAAGACCAGTGGGATGTAATCGTTGAGGTGGTGGACGGGAAAGTAGTATGACTGTTTCGAATCTAGCGATATGCCAAGCAAAAATTGCGGAAGCACCATGAATATACCGACTCCATTGGTTCTTTGTTTTTCTCATCCTCGGACATTCTGGATTGGTTTTATCCATCAAAGGGCCCATGGCTGTAGTTAATGTTTGTAGGTTGTTTTTCTCGGCCCATGCTTGGGCCTTGTCGAACGGTATGCCACTCCAAAGAACTTGACCATTGCGAATCCACCTTGAGTGGAATTGATCGAATATCTGCAGTGCCTCTGTGACAGTCACATAGTGGCTGAAGACTTTAGTAAGTGGGACACCAGGAGCTTGTTGGCCAGAAAGCCATTGAGAAATATCGTCAGAATCCATCGTTCTGCTCAGATATTTCAGTGGCTGACAGGTTTAGTATGGACATTATAGGAATTTCGAAACACCAAAGAAACTGAATCTACCCTTTCTCTGCAAGGGATTGTGTGACAATATATACAAGACGTCATTGATGCGGAGTAATGTAGACGGATTGGATCTAGGCTCGTATCATTGTCGGATCCCTGAGTAAGAAAATAGCAATCATACTACTATCTATTTTGATTAGATTGGAGAGACTGCATGATTCTTGGTGGGGACATAGGCACTCTATTCATGCCCAGTCAATGCCTAGTCACCGTTCAAATTGTTAGATGCAGTTTCACAAAATCAGCTGGAAAGTACATATAGCAATGCGGTTAAAAGCTCACGATGAATGGGCATCGGAACCAGGTTGTACGGTAGTCAAGCGAGAAGAGTGCCTCTTAGACGCAAATACCAGTACAATGATCAGGTGCAGAAACTGTGTTACTTTGAGTAATCAGAGACGAGACTTAATTACTATGCTAGCCCGTGGAACCGAGCCCACATATGATCAACACCCATGAGGCAGCTAAATGACGCGCTAGTACATTCCTCAGGTCTCAATCTAAGAAGTGATATACTTTGGTATGCAGAAATGTCCGCCGATAATTTGAGTATCTGTAGTCGTGTTACCTACATTGGTATTTCCATTCTTACCATTTGGTCTGCTCAGCCTAATTCCTTCCGCAGCTCTCACTTTACCTCATGCGGTCACGGACTTCATCATCGCGATCAGCAAGTCACGTGAGAATTCTGGAACGGAATCAAGGAGAGTGTCTTGGAAGATAGCATCAGCTGCTTCATTTTTCCGCCTCAACAGAAAGGTTACGTAAAGTGATGTCCATGACAAGGTCCCCTTTAGGCGTTGAATTGTAGATTTCCAAGACTACCTGCGGGAATTAAGCCGCGTCTAGTCTCTAAGCTATTTCATATTCAACCTTTCTTTGGGCGAGAGCTTTTAATCATATGACGGGGAGACGGTCCGCAAGAGAGTACATAAGTATGTGAAATGAGAGAGGGTCAAGTATAGGAGTGGTATCTTCAGCATCGTTTGTATCAGGAGATTGACCTGAGGCCCCCCGAGTCCCCTGTATTGTAGTTTCACTGTCAGGAACGTGGCAACTCGAGCCCGTGAGGCTCAATTTAATGTCTTGTTCGTGGCTTTGTTCTGTTGTATTGTGAGATATGACTTGGTAGTCCAAAGTGTATACGGATCTTCTTGGATCTGGACGGTATTTGTGGTAGCTTCCTATTATGTTTTCCCGAGTTAGACAGATATCTTCAAATGGCAGCACTCTGGCTGTGTACAATGAAATCTACTTCCATGGCACCAGAGAAGAAGCCCGATTGCGCGCAAACTATACAATTATGGGCAGGGAAGGACTCTTTACCACACAGAATGGTGAAGTCACTATATTTTGGGTTGAGACGCATTGCTGATATTCGATCAGTTGATGTGCAAACGGAGGTGATACATTGATTGCTTGGCAACCTGAAGCACGTACTTTGCTAGAGCATTCATAAGTTCTTAGAGGGGGATCAGTGTTTCGATTTTGTTGCTCAAGGGTCTTTCGAGTACATCATGCGCAGCCCAGAAAGATGCTTTGTGTACTAGTCTCTTCATTGGCATCTTGGCATTCGAGTTCTTTTGATGCTCTCCTCAAAAGTCATGGTCGAGAATAAAGACGAGTACTAGTAATACTGATCCCATACAGAAACTATTTATAGCCCATTAGTAGAACATCTAGAATCAATCGATGATATCATACTAAAATAGCCTTTTGTTAATAGCTGGTTTCATCGTTATAGCCAAATACGAATATTCTCTTGCTGGTGGCCCCTTGCCACACATCATCATTTGGAAGTGCGAATCCTCGTATTAAAAGATCTTGAAGGTCGTTAGGCAAATTGTGATAAGAGTACCAGAATAGGATCGCACTGCTCTGATCTTCTCCAAGTAACTCGTAAAGTGTCTTGGCGTCTTTGAACAGCTATGAATGTTTTTTAGTGTGCCCTATCGAATAAGGTAAACTTGAACAAACTCTACCTTTGGAGCTTTCTGGTGCCCGTGGTAGTCATCAAAGCGATCCGATGAATTCAAAAATACGATCTACACGGGAAGCCTTCTCACCTGATCTATACTGATACTTCTTATTGGTTAGCACTCTCAGAAGCTAGAGAATTCGACTTGGATGACAGCGAGCATAGAAGTATGAGGTAGCTCTGATTAGAAACTCAAGCTTAATTGAAGATTGGGTTTTGCGACATCGAGTGCGACATCGAGACACGGATGTTAAACAATGCCTAGAGTACAAGTCAACATGTCGATGGAGACATCGTGTTTCCTTTGCTAACCAAGGCTACCTTCGGTCCCGAGTTGAATATGATGCTCGCAAATGACATTGTACTTGCCCGCAGCAGAATATTATGCTGTTTCTCTTTCTCTTCAGAGCGTAAGTCCTACAAGCAGGGTGTCGGAAATCATCGAGCTGTAGCACAGATCCTGAAGACTTGAGTCGTTAGTCATAATACGGAAGGCTAGAAGCGCAACAGTAGATATGTCGGACCCTGTTCATACGAGCGATATGATCGAGAGATAGTCGGACGACTACAGGTTGTAAGACTGGGATGGTCGTAAGACCGGGATAGTCGTAAGACTGGAGTTCTAAGACTGGACGGGTCGTAAGATAGTACTTGTAAGACGGGCACAGTCAAAGGAGCATCTGCCGTCGCCTGTCCCAGGCGTAAGAGTCGAGAAGTCGTCAGAAGTAGTTCGATGATTGCCGAAGTTCCATGCTACCTTAATCATGAGCGAAGGAAGATCACCTAGGTATTTGGATATCATTCAATATTGTTGAAGAAGCTGGGGCAAGTTCCAGGATTCCCTCATGTATCCAGAGGTCTTTCTTGAATCTCATGGAAACTATGAATGTACTATCAAGTATTGCATTACACCCGCTTTTTCGGATGGTGGTTTTGCGCAATCTCGATCATAGAAAGTACATCAATTTCCACGCCTAGATTTGTTGTTGATGTTTTGTGTCTTGATAGAGATGGCTAGAAACCGCAAATTGTATGGGTTATGGTCCAACCTCCCAGCTTGTGAAGATATGAAATAACCTTGATACTCTAGACAATTTGTCTGTCACTCCGACGATTAGAAGGACAAAAACAGGCGCGTATTTCAGTGAGCTAGAGCAGCCATGATCACATAGCCGTTGTAGTTTGTCGGTACTGATCAGAGAGCGAAACCAGAAGTCATCGTGCAAGGTAATATCCACTATCTCTTTATGTTCTGTGTTGAACTGTCTAGAGCCTGAATACAGGGCTGCGCTTGGTTTTGAGCCTTCGGGATCGATCCGCGCGGATGACTGGTTCCGCTTATCAGGCATTCGCTGTTGTGTCCACTGCTTTGCGTTGTTGATGTGTACGGCTGCATTCTTGCATGTCTCTTCTTGTGCGAGCTTTTAAAGCCTCGATCCGGAGCGGTGGACAAAATGTTTGAGATAAGCACCTTCTGTGGCTATTAACTATTGACTGGCTCCCTGCGAACCAATCTGTATTTGTATCTTGATTATGTCTGAGGCATCGATACTATGACCTCAGGAATAGTAGTATTTCTCTTGGAGAAGCTCCGCCTGGGACACTTTCCGAACACTTATAGCGAGGGCATCGTTCCTTGCTATCGCTACTGCTGTTATATCCGCTATCAATTGTATCTCTTGTCTTGTCTGGTTCTCCTTCTTCACTAGTATCTGGCCATGGTTGACAATCATAAATGATATACAACCAGTAAACTGATAGTTTGGGATTAACGGCCTGATCAATGCATTTTGGAAAATACCAAGCAGAGTGCTATTCTGAGAAGACCTGAATTTTCAGCGACTAAAGCTCCACAGAGTGCCCTGCAGTGTTCTCAGAGCGATCGCTAGCCCAACAATCAAGAGCTTTGGCCATGTATCTCTTGTACCAACGTGTTCATAGCGACGTCCAGTTTGCCTACTCAGACATCGTAAATTTTCGATGTGAAATCAAAGCCCCCTACTTATAGCTAGGCTATTTCGCATCGCGTAGATGCAGGTTCGTCGGTTATGTGTAATAAGATAATCCTCTTGGGTTCAACTATTGAAGAATGGTAGTCTCGAATATCTGAAGGAGATATTGACGTTCCATTGATTGAGGCTAAGGAGCCATGAACCAATATCCTTTGAGTAGTAGATGTTCGGTAGCCGATTCGATTTCATTACTCTTGGCACATAGATTTTGGCTATTAATGTTGTGAGGTGTGATTGAAGATATATCATCCCATCGAAGTGTGCTTCGAAAATCACGGTCTCCTCCCCAATGGCTGCATTCGAAAGAAGGGTTTTCTAATTGACAGAAAGTCTCGAGCACTTAGATTTCGAGAAGATCTTGCTGGCAGTAAGTCTTTCTTCCAAAATATTTTGAGCGATATCAGACGCTCCTGTCGCGCCGAATGGTTGTCATTCTTAGCTGTGAAAATCAAAAGGCGAAAATCTATCACTCACGTGATTGGCGGGCGGTACTCAAAATCTCTTGCTGTATAGTGAAAATCCTCCTAGCATCTCGCAAGGGATATACCATATAGCAGTACATCATACTGACCCCATTGGGTTCCAAGACCATATGATTATTCATACTTCTGAGGGCCAGCCTAGTCTGATGCTGCTCGGCAATGCAAGCAATCCGAGAAACATGGAAAAATCATGGCTGTTTCTTGTTGAGTTCAGTCAGTTGATTCCGCCAGCCTTATTTTGCGGCAGCCGTGCCGTCCAGCATTCTAGGAAGAGGGCATTGATCGCCGCCTTAGTGGCAGCGACGGCCTTTCAGATGACTTCCGTGTCATCGAATACTATAAAAATCATTCTTTTCTTTCAGAACTAGTTAAATTTTCTCTAATTATTTAGTTACTAACCATCTGATAATATGATAGAAGGAATTAGTAATTTTTATAGACTTATACTTACGCTTATCTAGATTATAATATAGATAGTATATACTATGATTCTTGAACTTATGCTCAGTATAAGCTGTAGAAGAAAAAAAAGAAAATAGCTTCTATTATAGGATTAAGGTCCTAGTATAGAGCTCAGCTCTAGGTACTAATTAATATCTAAGGTCTTACTTACTACATACTAAGACTAGCACTAACTTAGTATATATAAAAGAATCCTGTATAAACATAAAAAACTCTTTCAGCTATTCTTCTTGTTCAAAGGCATGTTGTGATTAGCACAATCCATCCGTCCCGTAACAGCTAGGCGCCCCACAGCCTGCACAGCATTCGTGACGCGGGAAGGAACAAACTGGGCAAATTCAGTTCGCCACTTGCGGTCGGGAACCCCGGCCTCATCCGCGTTCACGGCGGAAGCTCGGTGAAGCTCGGTGCCGAGGAGCGGACGGCAGATTGGTCAAAGCTGAAGGCGGAAAGGTAGGATCAGCTCCTGGACTATGCCGCTAGTCATACAGTGTGCACAATTCATAACAGTAAGCCGGAGATCAACCTCTTATCACCGGATGACCCCGCTGTCACCGCGTGTCCCCGCAATAAATCCGCCGAGCTCATGCTTGAGCTTGCCAATTATTGATAATTTAACCCTCCAACCGCTTCACAACCCTCCCAATCACACCATACAACACAATCGATCACCATGACTACACCCACCGTCTTCCGTCCCGGCGCGACCGCTCTCATCACCGGCGCCGCCTCCGGCATTGGCCTCGCCGCCGCCCATTACTGCCACCGAGAGGGCATGAACGTGATCCTCCTGGACATCGACGCAACCAAACTCACCGCGGCGGCCGCCGAGCTCGAGCAAGCCAACCCAGCATCCCCCAAACCCCACACTTTTGTGCTCGACGTCTCGAAGCAAGAAGACTGGGCGCAGCTCCAACCCACCATCCACGGGCTCTACCCGCAGGGCATCGACCTCCTCATGCTGAACGCCGGGCGGCTCGCCACACCCGCCTCAGACAAGAAGACCCCCTGGCACGACCCGGGATACTTTGAGAGCACCTTCGCGACCAACACCTTCGGGTACACGAACGGCCTTGCCACCTTTCTGGACAGCGTCACCGGCACGGACACCGCGACGACGACGACGGAAAACCCACCCCCGTCCCGCGCGATAATCCTCACCGGCTCGAAGCAAGGCATCACCAACCCGCCCGGGAACCCGGCGTACAACGCCTCGAAAAGCGCCGTCAAGACGATCGCCGAGCATCTCGCCTTCGATCTCCATCGGAGCTATCCGCAGGTCAGTGTGCATCTGCTGGTGCCGGGCTGGGTGTACACGGGCATGATGAGGAAGTATTTTGCCACCAAGCCGGACGGGTGCTGGACACCCCAGGAGACGGTCGAGTTTCTGGTGCGGAAGATGGCGGCCGGGAGTTTCTATATCATCTGTCCTGATAATGAGGTGACGGAGGAGCTGGATCGGAAGAGGATCGCCTGGGCATGTGGGGATCTGGTCAGGGATCGGCCGGCGTTGTCGCGGTGGCGGGAGGATTGGAAGGAGAGAGCTGCGAAGGGAATTGAGGGGTTGGATGTAGGGTTGCTGGGTTGAATGGCAGTCGGGTATGGTGACTACTAGGTAAATTCAACCAATAAGTTAAAGAAAGTTGGGTTAAAATATTTCCACTGTTTGGGGTACCTACAAGCTAGATGCCGCACGCGCATACTGATTGGGTGAGGCAGCGTTATGCACACAATGCAACATAGCTAATTATGCAATCTACAGTGGCAAACAACCCAAAGTCATGGCGATAGAAAAGTAATTGATATTAATCTGTGTTACCTGTTACCCCAATAAAAAAAACGCTCCAGTGGTAGTAGAAGACAAAGTAAAAAATAGGGGCAACTCCCTAATAGAGCCAATCATAAACTAAAAACAAGATGCAGAAGCCAAGCCCCGCCCATGTCAGCTAACCAGCGCAGGCTGCAGCTGCCCATGCCCGTGTCCCCCGTAGAGCGGCCATCGCCGCCGCCCAAACACAATCCGCGAGGTATATCTCTTCGTCTTGCGCATGACGTTCATTCTTGCCGTCGTCCCGCCGACCAGGAACGCCTGCGCGGTGCGGTCGTCTCCGACCTCAGCGGCCCCCACCCTCTCGCCGCCGCCGGTGGTCGTCGTCTCGAGCAGATGGTGTTGTGAAGATACGCGCCACAACGCTGCCTGGTCCCCGGCCCCAGTAGTCCGCGTCGGGAGTGCAACTCCACCTTCAACTTCCGAGGCACTTGCGGAAGCGGAAGCAGAAGCAGAAGCAGACCGTCGCCGCACCATCGCCCGAACAGCCCCCGTGATCTGCTCGCGAATCACAGTCACAGGCGGGACTTGAGCTGGCTCGGCGGGACAGCTCGTGTACGAGGGCGAGTCATCGTACTCCGCATCCTCGATCACATCCTCATCCTCCACAGAGGAGGCCGCCATTTGGGCGCGCACGGCCTGTTGGGCGGCTTCAATGGAGCGGTGGAGCAGGCGCTGGTGGGCGAGGCACCGCCGGAGGTCGGGGCTTTTGGTTGCAGTTTCACGCTGAAGTTTGTTGCGCGAAAGGAGGACGATGTGCGTGGGGATGATTGATGGTGTGGAGGAAGATGTGGAGGAGGAGGAGGAGGAGGAGGTGATGATTGTGCGGCGGGCGATCGGGGGAATGCGGGTGTTGATTGATGTGGAGGAGGGAGAGGTGAGGCGGGAGGCATGGCGGAATAATTGAGGTGCTTCGCAGGTGGCCATCTCGATTGTAGTAGATGTATGTAAGATATGAAGGTCAAGGTGTTCAAGGAGGATGCATAAGTATATGTATGTATGCTGTGTCTCTCCTCCGAGTCGAATGTGGTAAATGTAGTATGGATGTAAGGAAGAAAAGCAGCACCAGGCTGAGTTCCACCAATCTAAGCAGATGAAGTCTTTATTCTTGTATTAACATGTCTGTTTAAATCGTCAAAGTCATGCTCCCCTGATCCAGAGCCAGGGGAGGTCAGGGGATATTTATCCTCTCTCCCCGAGACCCTGCAGGGCAGGCAACAAAGGGGGGGTTGCCCGCTGCCATGAAGCTTATGGATCCTTCAAGCGGATCCAGTGGATCGCAAATGGCTCGAGCATCCGCTTGGCAGGCGATAAAGATTCAGATATCGGCCGACGCCGGTGGTCCAGGCGTGTCACGACTCTCGACTATCCCTCGGACCCGGAGAGGAGAGCACAGTCTCGTCCTCGGCCGGAAAAGGATGTAACCCTCGACTCGGGCTCCCCCGTCTGGCAACCTGGTCAGTGCTGATCCCCCAGACACCCCCAGACCGGAGTGGATTGGCGGGATTCCGTTGTCGAGTGGCGAGCCAAGGTTTGTCGTCTGCGTCATAGACTTGCGGGTGCCCCCAGGATTATGCATGAAAGAGGCAGGAGACTCTTTTTCTAGAGTGCCACCCGATAAGAGCTCTCGGAAATGTTCGTCAGTCCATCTAATCATACGATAAGCACCCACCGACAGGAGAGGGGCTATTGTGGGCTGGACTCGGTCGGCCCCTAGACTCGCGGTGGTGACTGAGGCTATTCGCGGATGCTTCTTTATCCGCGGCTGGAATGTAACCCTATCCCAATGCGGATAGCCTTGACGAGTGAAGACAAGGGGTGTTTGACAAGACGACTACTGCTGCAGTCACGCTGCAAATATATTATGAGTCAAGTCTTGTTCAGAGTGCTTGTTCTATCTTTGATCTCGCGGCGCAGCCCGTCGCAGACCCTACAGGAAGCTAGCTGCTCGCTCATGTTCGGGGTCGCAAATCATAGGCTTCACCACCTACCAATATCATATCCTCTGTTGTGAGTGTCGCAATCATCATTGATTCAAATAATGGCCCATCAGATGACCCATCAAACTTGACAAACAGCAAGCGTAGCGCGTGCCAAGCCGTCAAGCGAGATCTAGCTTTTCCGACAATCTACTCTCATCGGACAAAGAAAGAAGGTTTCTGACTTGACTCTGCCGGCGGATCAATCAGAACCAGCACTTCCACCGATAGAGCTGTTAAGGGTCCAAAGGACCAAAGGATCAGAGGAAGGGCCAGCCAGTGCACGTCCCACCCAGTCGGCGACGCCGACAGTTCGATCGAAACCCACGGTTGACAGGCGGTGATAGACGGGTAGTGAATGTCCGCAAGCGGCAACAGGTTCCTACATTGCAAATGTCGAACCATGGATTGCCGCCCAGGGTCTTTGCCGCATACATAAAACAACCACCAAATGCTGGCGGGACAAGCCGACGCCGAAATTCTGAGTCGAATGAGGCAGCAGCAGCAGCAGCAGCAGCAGCAGCAGTAGATAAGCAGACGAGCGATCAACAGCCCTCACTACGGAGATAGGAAATAGGCACTCGCACACTAACTGGCAGAACAAGGTGACAACGAGACCATCATCCTCAACTTTTGCGTTGTGAACTCTCTCAAAAATTAGATATTAAGAAAAAATGGAACAGAAGAACAGAAAGAAACATGCGTCATAACATAGATACAGTTCGGTATCAATCCAAGATCTATCACCCTCCACCGTGCATCGACATTCATCTCCAGAGCCTCCTCGTTTCCTCCCCGGGCATGAAGATCATAATACAAGAAACAACGGAAGAATCATCGCTTTCGTCATATTACCCACCCCAGACAGACGCCGACGATCAGCGCGGGGATCAGCAACCCCCTCAACTCCGAGCGCATCGTCCAGGCGCTGGATTCCTTATCGCCGGAGGAATCACTGGCGCTGGAGTTGGCTGCCGATGAGTTGGTCATGTTGCTCCCTACCCAAGCGTTCCAATTGGTCATGTTATTGTTGCCGCAGATCGTGGTGATGGGCTGCCCCAGCACGCGGGTCAGCTCGTGGCCGCCGCGTGAGAGGGTGACAATGACCTCGCCGGTGCGGTTGTCCATCGGAACTGAGCCGAAGTAGATGCCCTTGCCGCTGCCGTCGGGAGTGTCGGACCAGTCAACCGACTCGGCCTTGCCGTCGATACTGACGAACACGTCGGCGGCGGATTCGAGGAGCGCCGAGAAGAAGATCGCGTCCTTCAGCACCTCGCCCGGTGGGAGGGTGGTCTGCCCCTGCGTCGCCGTGTTGCCCGTGGTTTTGCCGGCAGAGCACGCCCACGACGGCGAGAGGCGGTACCAGGTGACCAGACCTTCCTCCTCGATGGTGGCGCTGCCTTGGCCGTTCTTATACTCATCCACCACATAGGGCAAGAAGGCGCGCCAGCCGTCGTGCGGCATGCCGATGGCGTAGTCAAAAGGGGCGCCGCCGGAGACAAAGGTCCCCAGGTCAAGTTCGTGGATGGGCCCGATGTAGTGCGACTCACCGACGTCGTTCCACGTCAAGATCTCCACGTACTCCGGGTCAATCTCGTAGACCTGCTTCCAGCGCGTGTACCACAGATCGTCGCCCTGCCAGACCCAGTTCTTGTTATAGCGCACCATGTTGGCGTAGAACCAGGGGGAGACGGGCATGATGTAGGGCTTGTCGGTGCCGTTGGAGGATTTCAGCGCGGCCAGGTAGCGCTCGTCCATCGATGTATTCATGGCCGCCGTGCCGTCCGGCCACGCGCTCCAGCTCATCAACCCGTCCGTCACAGTCGAGGACGCCAGCTTCTCCGGCATAATGCTCGACCAGTCCGGGACGAAAAAGCAGTCGACTTTCTTCTTGATATTCACCCAGTCCCCTTGTGCCTCGTAGCCCTCAAAGGTCGACACCAGCGGCGTCTCGTTGTTGTGTTTGTAGTACGCCGGGAGCTTGGTGTAGTTTCCTAGCCACTTGATGACCTGGTCTTGGGGCCAGTGGCCGTCACCAGAGTAGTCAAGCGAGAGGAAGAGCTTGAAGTCGAGCTCCGCAGCCACCGTAAAGGCATCATTCAAAAGCTGTCCTGTGTAGAGGCCGCCGTAGCCTGTATTCAACGCGAAGGCGTCGATCTTGGCCGCTTGGGCTGATCGGATGTCTTCTCTCCAATTATCGAGGGTAAAGTTCTCACTGTTCGCGACCTGTACGTTCGTTCCGATACATTAGAGTTGATGTTCTCCAGGAGACAAATACGGTGGAGAAGACAGACCATAAAGTGTGCAAAGACAGCCTTGGCCTGCGCATGGCAGGCCAGTGCTATCATCAGGGCAATGATCAGTGCCATAGTAACAGTGAGGCTACGAACAACCAGAAAGTCTTGTCGCGAGGGTCCGTACGCTATCCCAGGGAGCAGGAATATTCTAGCAAAACAAGAAAAAAGAATCATACAACAAGGGGATGTCGGAGGTTCATATGACTACAAGAGCCCTGTCTGCTGGCGTCCGCTTCCATCCTGATATTCAGGGGGACTAGCCTATAATGGCATTTCCTCATAGAGTTGAGTCCAACAAATGAACGCAGCCTAATTGACTTTTACACACTGAATTGCACAGCCTGAGCACCGCCTGTCAGAGACAAGACGAACAGGGGAAACGAAAAGCCATGCGGCATGCCGAAACACCCTCCATTGCGTGAGCTATTGAAGCGGTCTGTCAGCATTATCCCGAGCAGAGATCAGATAGTTCCAGAACTGGGCGAAGCCCCCTCGCTTGCGCGTTTTGAGTTGTGGGCTCAATCGATATGGGCACTACCGCTGGTGCCCACTGAGTGATTATCGGTAGTGGTGGTGAACTGGAGACGAGACGTACACATAGCTGCGAACACCTCCGTTTGGCCTGCTGGAGTGAACGAATTGACCCCGGATTGACAGGGCCATGACCGCTAGTGGGTCCAATTATTGCAGGCAAACTCCAGGCTAATGCATCGAAGAGGCTATTATTGTGCTGGAGGTGGTAGACCCAATGTGATGTGTCCGATGTATGCTTCTCCTTGATTTGAAGCCAAGGACGGAAGAGTTCGTGTACCAGAACCCTAACCAGAGCGATCATGCATGACAGGTCCTTTTTGCGTGTTGAGCACGCCCCTCTCCCACCGTCGAACACCTTGGATGTGGTCGATTTCTGTGCTTTATTGAAATACGAACAAGGTCTAACTTCCTCCAATACATGGCGATGGCCTGATATGGCGCTTTTAGAATCACGAATCAAGCTCGAGTCGTAGAATAGTCGGCCGTATGCCACTGTGATTCAAATCAGCCCGGCCAGATGTGGGGAGATCCACGACCGTAGGCTGGGAGTAGGAGTCGACGTACTCCGTACCGTGTAGATATTGGCAGCGGTGTTATCAGATACGCTGACCAAAACCAGCAAATACAACTCACCGGTTTTCGTGGGGAAAATCGCTAGTTACAGCCGAGTCCGCACCCTGCAACAGGCGGCCGCTGACAGCATACCGAACTATTCCCATGTGTTCTCAGACTTTGTCGAGGACATACGTAAGAAAGCAGAAAGATACAGGAAGGGATGCAGGTTTGACGTCGGCGAGCACGAGTTCTTCGCCGCTCGGGTTGGGGCGGGATGCAAACTCCAACAAACTGTACCAAACCGGAAGGACAACGAACTAGTCATTAACATGAAGTGCTTCTTACTTCGCCACCAGTCCGATTGTCACTACTCACTAGGATTCTGGTGCAGAATACGATGATTTGGCTCTGGTAACTTGTTGTGGACTGCATTACTCCTTAATGACAAATACGAAGCTGTAGTATATCACTCTCTGACTTGTCACCGGTCGCAAAGCTTAATTAGCGAACAGAGCCCAATGATCCACTCAACAAACAGCATGGGTTTTCCCGGTCTTCCCTTGGAGTGAATGTTTCTCATCCTTGTAGACTGGATGTCCCTGGGGCCCGCGAGTCGCGTGGGTCTGAATATACCTGTTCTGAGTTAATGATCGTGATCGACGGTCATGAACTAAGCAGAGGTTACGTACGTGCTGTACCGGTTTACCATCGTCTCATCCATTTCCTCGAGCGACTTCATTGCCTGGCGAATGTCTTCAACCAGCAGGTTACAGCGGTGTAGACTGAAATCCTCCCGCAGCACGATCCGCATCATCTTCAACTGGTTACAGTTGGGTGCCATCGTGTAAGCTGGAATCACCCATCCTCGACGACGCAGTACGTGAGCCAGAGAAAACTCATCCCAAAGACGTCCCTCCTCTTCGGGCAATCGGTAGGCCACCAGTGGGAGTCCGCGACCGTTGCCCTCACTCATGATGATGAAGCCGAGTTTTCCGAGCTCCGAGGCCAGGTAGTCGGCAATCTGAGTCAAGTTGGTCATAATGGATCGATAACCCTGCTTCCCCAATCGGATCAACTGGTAGTATTGACCAATGACATGCGAGGCTCCCTTGGAGAAATTTAAAGTAAAGCTGGCTTGATCGGCCCCAAGATAGTTGATGTTGAAGATCAACTCCTTGGGCAGATACTCCGGGGCACGCCAGAAGACCCACCCGACTCCAGGATATACCTGTGCGTCCGCGTGTCAGCACTAGATCACATCACTGAGTAGCACCATTGGTCAGGTTCTGAGCCCCATCAAGTTGCAGGCTCTTTACGAGACCTACTGCAGTTACTCACGGCCTTACTTACCAATCCATATTTATGTCCTGAGACATTGATCGAGACCACTTTCTCCAATCGAAAGTCCCATTCCAACTCTGGCCTCACGAAGGGAGCGACAAACCCGCCACTTGCAGCATCTACATGGATCGGACAATCGATATTTCTGGCTACAAGCAGATCATTGATGGCTTTGATATCCTCATACTGGCCCGTGTAGGTGGTGCCCAGGATGGCGCAGATGCCGACCGTGTTTTCATCCACCATCTCGACGGCAGCCTCCGGGTCGATGACGTATCGTGTCTCGGTGCAGTAGACGTACTTCTCCTCGACCTCGAAATACCGGGCGGCTTTCTCCCAGCATACCTGTACCGCACTGTTCATGATGATGTTTGGACGCGACCAGTCCTTCCCGGCTGCTTTCCGTTGGTTCTGCCATCGCTTCTTCATCGCTAGCATGGCGAGCATGATCGCTTCCGACGATCCAACCGTAGAGGTGCCGAGGGCGTCTTGTTCCGAGCCCTCTTGTCCTGTCGTCGGTGCATTGAGAAGACCAGCGATCATGTTGACACAGCGGTTCTGTATGTGTGCGGATTGCGGGTACTGCTCGTAATCGATGAAGTTCTTGCTCATCGCGTCAGACATGAGGGTTTGAACTTCGTCTTCCTGCTCCCATTAGCCAACTGCGATCCGTAGTAGTCTATGGATTGAAGCCGGACCATGTAGGTGGTGACAAAGCTCGCCAGGCTGGAAAATGTTATCATCGCTTTGGAGCAGTGGGTGAAGGGGAAAATTCACTTGAGCAGCGGGTTGCCATCAAGACTCAGCTCGTCCTTGATCATTCGGTACGCAACACTTGCCGGCATCTCATGCTCTGACATGGCATGCTCGGGAAGCTCCTCGACCGCATAGTGAGACCCATAGACATAGGGCGCCGCCTCCGATGCCTGGGCTTCACGCTTCTCGCGCCGGTGGCGATGAGCGTGCGATTCTTTGGCGACTGACGAAAGGTGAACCATTTTTGCCTGTTGCACAGCGGGATGAGTTGTGCCGAGTTCAGCTGGGGAGCACTTCTGCCGTTTGTCTTTTTATAAATATAAGGGTGTGGTGGTACCGAAACTCTGTGCTCCGGAATGACCTCACCACTCTCGTATACGGGCGCGTCTGTCACCTGTGCCATCTCTCTCGCGAATGCATGACAGAGAGTCGTTGTCATTGAGTAACCTTATGCGCGGGGCTACGCGTTCGCACAGGTTCTTTCACTAAGGTCTTTTAAAGGTTCACCCTTGCATGTCCCCTTGGGCACAGAACATCTTGAGCGCTGTCAACCATATAAGTTCCGCTGTTTGTTCATGCCGTCGCTCATCGTTTTTCATCGACTGCGAATATAACGCGACGAGCATTATCGCTGACACTCACCATGAGCACAATGCTAGTCTGTACCGGGGATGGCGGTGGAGTTAGTGGCGGAGATAAGAGTCTCACTTCAACGGAACGATGGAATAGTCGATGAGGGACATGATGCAGAAACTCATATCCGCCGCAATCGCCGCCCTTACTATAGGAAAGGGTACGATAGGACTCACTGCAAGAAGGCTGAACTCAGACGACAAAACAACTTCACCACGACGCCTTTCCTGTGACACCAACATGGTGACGCTTGGCAAGTTGCCGTCCCGTCCGCTGGGCCGCTGCTCCCTCGCATAGGCCTGAGACTCACGGGCGCCAGCAGCGGGTACGGTATGCCGCTAGACGACGGCAAGATTCTCGGACTATTGGATGAAGCATACAACAGGGGAGACACCGTCTGGGATACCGGTACGTGACTCACCAAGCGTCGTGCGCAGATGGCTGTATAGGCTCTGTACTTATGAGGTATCAGCGGATAAATACGGTGCATCCGAAGAGATCATCAGAAATTGGTTCGCCGCCAATCCCCGGAAACGCAAGGACATGTTCCTCGCTACTAACTTCGAGATTCGTCCCTCGTCCGAGTCGCCGCACGGATACAAGATGGATCCGACGCCCGAGTACTGCCGTTCGTAGACTTGTACTAAGTTCATCGCTAGGATAACTTCACGCCGACTGAGAAGACTATGGAAGCTATGGTGCGACTGAAACAGGAGGGCAAGATCAATTTCATCGGCCTGAGCGAGTGCAGTGCCGAGTCGTTGCGCCGTGCGCATGCAGTTCATCCCATCCCATGCGTGCAGGTGGAGTATAGCTTGCTTTGTCTAGCCATTACATCTCCACAAATTTGACTTCTTGGGTCCGTACGGGAGCTGGATGTTGGAATCGTGGCTTACAGCCCTCTCGCAAACGGGCTGTGAAGGGGCGATATACGATCTCGCCGAGATGTCAATCGCCCCGGAGATTCGCGTTGGGTTCTGCCATGGCTCCATGAGAAGAGTATTAACAAGAACATGACCGTCCTAGACAGGATATCGGACATTGCCAAGCGCAAGGATGTCACTAGTACCGCGCAGCTGGCGCTGGCCTGGATATTCGCACAGGGTGATGATATTTTAACCATTCCAGGAACCACGAAGGTCGAAAGATTGGAAGAGAACCTAGGAAGCGTATCGATCCACGTGTCAGCAGATGAGGAACGCTCGCTCGGGAATTAGCGAAAGATGTGGACGGAACTCGATTTCGGTAGCGCTGTGCGGCGACTTGCGCCGGCTCCCTCAATTGCAGCCGGAGCTCGGGGGAGGACGTTAGTTTGAGTTGTTGCAATCCCAAGGCAAGTTGCACCAGTTTTCGAGCGAGATCGACCGGTTGAGTGGCTGACTCCGGCGGTTCTAGCGCCGTGTCGGCATCCTCTGCCTCAGGTATCGCGGGGGAGTGACTGCCTCGCCATGATACCACCGGCTTGAAATGGAAAAAAAAAATTTTGCCCTTATCTAAGACCATGAAAGTGGTGGGAGGATCAGGAATGTATGAGAGGGGTCCTAAGCCGGATATTGGGATTGTGTCAATCGCAAAGTGCAGAGACAGCCACAAGTGGCGGATTCTGCATTGAGGCCGCTTTGACTAAAGAGCGAGGGTTTCGTCTCTGGGTCGCTCACTGTAGGCTGTGGCAGTAACTCCGGTCGGGCATTCTGCTGGCGAAGTAGTCGATCGACAAGCAATTTAACGTGCTGGATGCGGTCCTCTACTTGCTCATAGTCATTTCTCGATGGTTTAGCAAAGGCTTGGCTAATGCATTCTAACCCTCGGCTGCAGCAATACATGCAGCTGGAGCTGCTGGCGGGCTCGAAGGTGCATCGTCGTCTGCGGTGTTGACATTTCAAGCAAGAGAACGTGCCCTCCCGGGTGTTGCGTCTTTTATTGTGTGCGCGCTGTAGATTGGAGAATGGGAACCACGGAGTAAAGGCATGGTATGGTTGACGCGGAGAAGGACGCGTAGATATTGGGAGCTGAGGGATTGAGAGAGGAGATACTGATCAGGATCAGGCTAATTGATTTGACTAGTCAACAACGCTAAGCCCCGGGCCCGCTGTTCCATCCCAAGCCCCCCTCCTCTCCTTGGAAGTCTCCTTCATTTTAACACTATCCAATATATTTGTAAAGATAATTATATTCGCTTATTAGGTTATAGACGGCTGGTTTCCGAAATTAGTGGCATAGGCCTCAGTTACTGGCCCTCTGCGTAGGCTAAACGTGCAGCAAGCGCTTTCAACCCGCGAAGTCGAGAATATCGATGTTCAGACCCGGAGGCACATTAATTTCTCTCAGATCATCTATCTCCACATCATCCGGCGCAGAGACCCTGAGAAATCAGCTTATTGCATGTTCAGTTGAAGAGCGTGCCCGTTGACGCTACTTACGACATGAAATGAATGGGTGGGCTGGTCAGCGTGGAGTCGAAATTGTCCGGGAATTGCAAGTGCTTGGCTTCGTAGACCTTGTTAAGCCTAGGGAGGAGATCGATCAGCATCGGACGAACTAGTGCTAGCGGTAGTCAGACTTACATCTTCGTCAGCTTTTCTCCATCCCCATAATAATCATGAGCCAGCTCGTTGTCGTAGCGAACGTCAAAAGTCTTTTTCGATAGACAGTTAGCACCTAGCACAAGCTGTGTTCCACACAGCTATTTAGACTAACCAAGTCTTTAACCATACTGGCGGTCTTGAGGGTAACAGTGATAGATGTTGTAGATGTCGAATTTGGAATAATAGAAAGATGCGCTGCTTACTCTCCAGCTCGCTTTTAATGCTGCAGGTTGTCACTCGGACGAAAGTTCAAAAGTGAGATGAGGTCATCGAGAATTCATCCTCATCTCGATAGAGTTGAGCCAGTGGAAGGACCAGGCGTTCCAGACGGTTCGGTACCCAGCAATTCAACTACGGGTGGCGGAGATGACACTTCCCGTGGTCCGTTTGCAGGTGGTTTTTGTCAGTGTCTGGTTTTCTAGTGACTTCATCAACCTTATCTCACCTTCACCTTTGTCACTGTAATTCATCGATGAACTACAAGGATGGAGATCTCCCTATCGCCGCGCTGATTAAGGTATGTAATTGTGCGCAAGATAAGAGTGATTGGGATCCATGACGCCTACACTGCCATATACAAAGGTTTTGTACTCCGTACAGTACGTAAGTGCTATACCACGCTGGGTGATTTTGCGACAGATATAGGCCGTGCCAGTTAGATGCACTCCATGTGAGGAGATTCCTGTTTCACAAACCTTACCTAAATCAGAGGAATCACCCACAAAAGGGAAACTAAACATGCATCATAAAGAATGAGGAGAAGTACTGTGGCGACAAGGGTGTCGCTTTCTTCAGCGTTGAGTCCATATAGTTCTTCCTTAATGAGCAGAGTGCCGAGTGACTGCATTCCAGCGATCTGGTGCTCGATCATCCCTGCCACACTTTGTTTAGTACTCAGCGAAGTCACTGACTCTACTGAGTGCCGATGGCACGAGGCATGTACAAAGCCCACATCTTGATATGCGAGTGGTCGAATGTTACGCTCGACACGGGTTCATGGTGTTATCGTTGTCGATTGCCAAGGCGCTGCAGACTCTTGTCTCAACTGATTGAGCACAACATTACCGACCGTGAATATCATGCTACTACTCTCACCTACAGTAGAGGAGTAAGCTCTGATTTTCTGGTGAGTCGAGAATTTCATGGATCCTAGCAGGGCCTTCTGGCATAGATCCCGTGGTGTCGCGCAGGGTTGGAGGTGATTTTGACTGCGAGTTCGCGGTTTCCTGCGTGACGAAGATTGCCGTGCTTTAAGCACGGCCGCCTACTAGGGGTGGGAGCATTGAAGGAGTACTCTGACAAGGCTGCATTTCGCTGCGCTGACGCTTGTGGATAGATATCTTTTCGGCAATGATATATCTCGGAAGGTATCCTTCATATCTGAGACCTTTGATCTCACATCGACGGCGCGCGTCCGGTCGCATTTGCGGCACTTTTTCCGACAGGTCCCGCTTGCTGGATCTGAACTACATGAATAACTATCAGCGGTGACAGTTTGTCCACGAAGTACAGTATCTTCTGACCTGTTCGCGCAAACGTCATGGTAGAATACAGCCTTCTTTGTGATACGAGGAGCGTCGAAGAATACGCACAAATATAAACAGAGCCAGCTATTGCGCGGGCGAGGTTCGCATATATTGGTACGACCGCGCAGGAGGATACTAAAATCGGTTTATCAACAATGCATTTTGCGGCTCGCACCGGGATTATCCTATGGAAGTCGTTGTGAGTGGGTAGAAATGCTAGTATAGGCAAGGATCTCCGCTATGGGCTTTGCCCAAAACAAACAGCAACCCACCTGCGCCACCTGATACACTGTCTGTAATCCATCTGCTTCTTCCTCGCTTAGAAAGCTGGTGATCGTGTCAGCGTCCTGTAGCTCTCAGATAGATACGCATAAGAAATTGGTAAGTTCAATAAAGCAGAATGATCATACCTGACCAGCCGGGTGGTTTTGCCCACTTTGCCCTATTCTTGTCTTTGTAGGAGAGTGACTTTGACTGACGGGCTTGCAAGTCCGAAGCACTGTTACAGAACTTCTATTACGAGCAGATCGGCACTGGGGTAATTGATGAAATCGATTCACCGCGACTGTCTCAGTCTGTGTCCCGAAACCAGGAATGACTCTAAACTGGCGTTGGTGGCTGCATAACCGCTATCTGAGAGAATATATAGGATGCCAGCCCTTGAGTCAGAAGGAGGTGTGCTATGCTGGATATTATAGAACCAGTCACAAATCTTGCTAGACCGACATACTCACAACAAGCGAGAACAGGCAATTCGCCTTTGAGGTGCACAGCGGTCATCTTGTCGATAGATCTACTAGTAAGATTTTTAAGAGCCGATTTTCGCCGTCGTTGGCATTATGAACGAGGTTATCAATTCTTTAGGCTCAATGGGATCCAAGTTCAGCCATTGTCGTCATCCCTAGACCTGGTGAAGATGGCAGTCCTGAACCCTTGATGGAGCGGTGGGTAATTGCATTCTCTTCTCGTTCCAGGGGTATTTAATTTAGTATCACTCTCAGGAAGCTTCTATGTTTATTTTGCTCACCTTCCATGCTTTGGCTGCTTCGCTATGTATCGAAGCCATGCGTATATTTTGGGGGGCCGGGCAGTTGAACGCACTGCCTAGACGGGAAGTATATGCAGCCCTAAGCACGGAGTAGGTCACCCCTCTATCCAATTGAGCTGCCTGTCCATTCAAAACCCCCAGAATCCCGAGAATGCTAGTGGTGTAGCCAACTAGGTCCAAGCGCTGGCACGAACCTGGCGCACACTATGTGCACTAGAGCTATGGATCGACGAAGGAACTTCTCATTGTGTCGAGGTGCATACGTATTTTTTTATGGTTGTCTCCCCACGTTATCAATGAATGGAATGTACATTTGTTCTTTTAAGCGAAAGGAAATACAATCCCAAGGTCAATGACAACCAAAGATTTTTGGATACACAATTCGTCGCCAAAACCCGCCTAGAAGTCTGTTGGACGCCCATCTCCCTTCAGCTCCGGACGCAAATGAAAAATTGGATCCATTAGCTCGACCCAGCCACACGCCGGTTCACTCATCGAGTAGCCCATGTAGTCCTGGACCTCCCGATCATAGCTCAGGGCGACCTCAGCTGGCACTGCCAGGAACTGATTCTCCTCCTGACGCAGATAGCCTCGAATAATGAAGGTGGCGAACAGCAAGCGCTTCTCATCCTCAGTGATATTCGCTCCTCCCCCATGAAATGCCGACGCAAGCATGATGAAGCCATCGCCCTTCTCCATGTCGGCGTAGATGCATTGCTCCACTTTGGGGGGAGTGGCTCGGTCGGAACCCCTGTGAGGTAAAGTGGTTAAAAACAAGCAGCTCTTCGTGCAGCGAATCCCCGACATACCAGAGATGACTCCTCGGGATGAATGCAGTACCTCCATTCTCCTTAGTGACCCGGCAGCCTGCCACGAACAGACCAACGGAGGCCTCGCGCTCCGCATCGCGGACGTCGTCCCACTGGCCGATCTCCTGGTGCCAGCGATGGCTGATGTAGTCGTCTCGATGCAGGGGCTGGGCTGCGCCTCCAGGACCGATCCGCATCGCCGCGCACGAGTGCACGTAGGGCTTGGACACGGAGAGCTTTTTCTCGTCGCCCCACCAGTACCATCTGCGGGAGGTGAGAAAGTGGTCGCAGACTTGGCGAAAGAGGGGATTCATGAGCTGAGTCTTGGTGTAGGTCGGGCTCCTGGCAATGAGCGATGGAGCCCGTTGGGTTTGTGCTGGGATGGTATCAGATTCAGATACTTGATTAGAGCTCACTATAGCGTGGGTTTACCTGGAAAGAAGGTGCCGTTCCATTCGGTATCTTCGTCCAACCGCGATTTGATCTCCTCATAGGCTTGATCGACATCGCTTTCAAGAATGAGGTTCCTGATGAAGACACCGCCGTCTCGTTTGAGTAGATATACAATCTCTTCTAGGGGTGTGTCCTTGGACACCTTCTGAACTTCGTCACTGTACTTGGACGGATGGAAAGGCATGATTGGCTTTCTTTGAATCTCAGCTTCAAGTTGTCAGGATGATTTTCCCAGAACAGAGCTATCACCATCCCTTAATATAGCGGATGTAGTGGCCATGACATCCGGATAGGCGCTGCCAAGAATATTGGAGATGGGGAAAACTACTACTTAGTAACCTACATTAAGATCCCGTCCGGTCTGGACTCCCCGCATCACTCGGCCGGTGGCCTCGTTTGCCGGATGAGGGAACCCGCCTCCAGGCTTACCCCCAATAGGAAATGCTTCCCACCGCCGCAGCAGTGCCACTAAATACCAACACTAAGTCGAGCGATATCTGGTCAAGCTTGGCCCTATAGGCGGGCGGAAGGTTCCGATGGAATCTCCCAGTGGGATTGATCTGAATTTGTCCGATTTGACTTACCAGGGTAGTCTATAGATTCATCCACGCTCGAGGCTTGACGTATCATTCGCAGCTGCGACAGATTCAATATAAGTTCTTGAATCGTTGGCCATGTCTAACCGAGCCTTGATTATCCGAGCGGGTAAATCCCTCGCCGATGAACCAGAGAATGGAGATGACATCCACTCCCGAGTGGCTATAACTGACCACCATTCGACATTCCATTACAACTTGTTATTACTGGGCCTTGTAATAACCATAGCATCAATCACTACCACAAAACTTCTGAAATGTTTGTTTGGGATAAGTAGCAAATCTGCTCAAATTGACGTCTTGGTGAAGCCTGCAGCGCGTATTGCGTTGTTAAAAGTACTCCTTCTGCCTATCAACTGATAGATCGATCACATACGCCAGAAGAACCCCAATCGGTTGGTGGGAGCGGAAAGTACTTCTTGATCATCAACTAGTGCCATCGAAGCAGGCAAGCATCCTCGATAAGAAAGTGTTTCAAGCGAGGCTATGCATAAAACTCATCTACTAAGCCCATTGGCCGCAACACCGTGGCCTCGTGGGGGACAGTCATGGCCCCCGGAGTGTAGGCATTTTACCCCCTCAGACCTCCTCAGTGTGTGAATTGACCTCAGCCTCAATGCGACTATCAGCGAGTGCCTTGTCTGCGCGGTGCCTCCCTCAGCCAAAGGCGTCCCAAGCGCACTAACCCTTTGCGCGGCTACATGGGATTTGGGAAAGAAATACTAGGGTGATGGTAGGTGTTCTTGGATCCAGTAGGTAAGCTATAGACTAGGTACTATACAAATTTGTCTCGGGGGCTGTAGGGGAGAATAGAAAGATAGAACCCCAATCTTTCTACTCCATCAGGTGGTGGTGGTCGCCGGCCGCCGGAACAAACTTGGAAGTCACGTTACTGTCGAGTCATGGATCCATGATCACGTTACTGTCATTGGGTAGCCAATCAAAATTCAGGAATCGCCTCTCAAAGCTACCAGTCATCGTCCATCACCCGCTAGTAGGCCCTCAGCATAGAAACGAAGGTTGCAACTGAAAGCTAGGTACTGAAGCTCTAAGAACAACCAATGGAATAATGAAGCTTAACTAAACTGACTACTAAATTGAATTGATAACACTATCCCCTGATTGCAGAGGAATGACAGGAGTATGTTCATCAAGAAGAAGAGAAAGAAGAAAACAGCAAGGCATAGGGAGAGGGAAAAGGAAGAGGGAGAAACCACCGCCTTCCAATTGTCAGGAAGGCACCCCCCTCCTCCAGCTTCCCCGCCCCGTCAGTACCTATCTTGAAGGTACGTACGTACTCCGTACCTAGTGCTTTGACAGGTCACGTGGGAAGACCGGGGTTGGTACAATGCCGTGTCCAACCCCTTATCCTTCGCCAATCCCTCTTCCTGTCCCCCGTTCCTCTTCCTCTTCTTTTTCTCCCTGCTACGCATAGACTAGACCGATTCGAGTTTTACTATTCAACCATGGCATCCATTGTGCGCCCACCCCTGCCATATGGAAAAGCATGTGCCACCTGTGCACGCGCCAAGTGTCGCTGTGTTCCCCGGAGTGTGGGCGGCCGCTGTGAAAGGTGACCCACCTGTCTATCCGGCCCGGGGTGAAACACCGGAGTACACAATGCCGTTGAACTGATTGACTGATACTACAACCACAACTGCAGATGCTATCGGCTGGGCAAGGAATGTCGCTTCCCCGAAGGTCGTCGCAAGGTTCGCTCCTTATCCAAGTCAGTTCAGATAGAACAGAAACTGGATGGGTTGATGATGCTGCTGACTTCCGGTCGGACGGGGCTGCCAACGCCGACTCCGCTTCCCGCCGATGCTGAGGCCGAAACAGAGTCCGAGCAAGAGAACGAGGACAACCAAGCTGATGAGGAAGCTCTATACGCATTTCGCACGCAGAGACTACAATTCCTTCCCTTGATCCATATTCCCGCCACAACCACCGCCCAAAATCTAAAACAGCAGTCGCCGTTCTTGTGGCATTGTATCTCCGCGGTGGAAAGTAAGAATACCTCTCGGCAAGCCGCTCTATGTGTCACCATTCGCGAGCTGGCGGGGAAGCAGCTACTGGTGGATTGCAACAAATCCCTGGATTTACTGCAGGGAGTGCTAGTCTATCTCGCCTGGTATGGCTTCTGGCTCGTGGCTTGGAACTGGATGCTAACTATTAACAGGGTCACCTTTCACAGCCAACCGCAGAAATCGTCACTCTGTATCTATGCCCAGATGGCGATGGGACTGGTCTTCGAGCTAGGCTTCAACAAGCCCGCGCCTCCAGACCTGAGTATGACCATCTCAAACAGCAATGCGGTCGGCCATATGCCAGGACTGAAAGCGTCCATCTCTACGCGGCGAACTATGAACGAACGCCGCGCAGTATTGAGCTGCTACGTGCTGACTTCGATGTATGATTGTTCTAAAGACAAGACAGAGTGATCTAGTGACTAAAAGGGACAGAATCGCACAATTTCTCGGTCGAATGGACCCGCTGCGATGGACCCCGCACATGAGAGAGTGTCTCGATATTCTGACAAAGAGCGGCGAGTCACCGGGTGACGGGGTGCTGGTCCAGATCACGCGCACGCGTTTGCTGGCGGACCAAATCCTCCAAGGCCCGTGGAGTGAGGGCGTGTATGGCCCGCATCCGACGCAGGCCCTCGCCGCGTTTCATCTCAAGGCGTTTGAGTCGCGGTTTGAAACGATCAAAGCTGAGATCCCTCTTCCACTCGCCGATAATAGTACATTCTTCCTGAACAGCCCGTCAGAAAGTCAATACTGATTGGTACCCAGAACCCATCCTCTTCCACCTCTATGACACACAAACAAGCCTCTACGAGGTCGCCCTCGTCAACCCTCCCGCCGACGAAGAAATGAGCAGCCAACGGCTTGGCCATCTGTACGCTTGCTTACACGTTGTGAGGCAATTCTTCGATCTCTTCTTTACGATATCTCCCGCGGAATATACTTCCCTCGCACTACCCTATCTGACTCAGATATCGCATTGCCTGGTTACCCTCTTCCGGCTGTCGACTCTGGATTACCCGGGCTGGGACAAGGCCACGGTGAGAGGCACGGTGGACCTCCTGGACGTTGCGAATCAAATTGCCACGCGCATGGGCCAGGTTGCGGCTGCGGTGGGGATGCATGGCGAGGAAGCGGAATGCGATCCGTTTAGTAAGCTAGGGCTGATGATGCAGAAGCTAGGAGGGGAATGGGCGGTACGGCTGCCGGAGTACACGGGGGTGGAGCCAGATCATGGTGCTGGGGAGGTGTTGCCATTGAGCAGCGTGGAGTTGGGCGATCTGGAAAGTTTTTTGAGGTGGTCAGAAATGGCGTGGCTCACGGATGGGACCGGTGTAGGAGGTTCGCGTCCGAATCTTAGTAATGCCTGCTCTTAAATCGACACCTATAAGATTTGCTTTTCTGCAACCTCATTGGTATAGGGATGCTCTCTAGTATGTGACTTTTGCGGCGTTGTGATGGGCTTTCTCTAACGTCCCTTGTGCGTTGACAAATTTGTCATTGACGGGTTGCAAGACTTCACAAACAGATGCCTATTAGCACTGATGAGAGTACAAGTCTCCCTATTAGTCCTTTCTCTGGGCTGCCAGCAGTCTGGCAAGAGAGATAATACGGCGGTGGTAGTTCTTTTTCGACAGAGGGCCGGCGTTAGCGGCATTCGAAAGCCGGCGTCCGCATGAATGGAATCGGCGTTCGGAAGAGGCAAATCCCAACGCCGCCATCAGCTCTCATACTTCAAACTCACACTCCGACCATTTATATTCGATCTATGCTCACGAAATTCGACTCAGTACCATTCCAATTATCCTTGTCTCACAGGATCCAACAATGGTACATTTGACAAAGGAACCCCGGATCCTCGAAAGCTCCGATAGAGCCAACATGAGCCACAACAGCAACGGCAGCCACCTTGATCTCCAGACATCCAGCTCCAACACATGTGAGAAGAACGAACTGCGCGTGGAGGCCGAGTACGAGCCAGAGTGGGTGCACGGAGTGACGTTGGTGATGGTGATCATGGGAATCACCCTGGTAGTATTTTTGATGTTATTGGATGTATCGATTGTGTCGACGGTGAGCCATGTCATTCGACCTTTCTGAAGTTGAACTAAAGGACTGACATTACTCCGCATGATAATTAGGCCATACCCCATATCACAAGCCAATTCAAGTCGCTCGAAGATGTCGCGTGGTACGGGAGCGCGTATACGATATCCAGGTAGGACTCTTTGCGTACTAGCACTTCCCGACTATTGGTTGAGAACCAGCTAGCTAACTGGACGATGTGTAGTGCAGCCCTCCAGCCCCTCACCGGCAAGTTCTACACCTACTTTTCTTCCAAGTGGACATGTCTTTCCTTCTTCGCCGTGTTCGAGCTCGGCTCCGTGGTCTGCGGGGCGGCCAGTTCATCTAAGATGCTGATCATCGGGCGCGCGGTGGCGGGCATGGGGTCGTCGGGGATGCTGAACGGGGCGCTGAATCTCCTAGCCGCAGCGGTGCCGACGGAGAAGCGGCCGACGATGATTGGGGTCATTATGGGGTGTACGTTTTCTCGCTCATATCAGGAAGGTGCCTGAACTGCTAACCATTCGTTAGTTGGCCAGCTCGGCCTGGTGGGCGGCCCGTTAATCGGCGGGGCGTTGACAACCTATTCAACCTGGCGATGGTGTATGTAGGCTAACCTTCCACCATACACCAGTCAATGCATGGCTGATGACAGAGAAGGCTTCTACATTAACCTGCCCATCGGCGGCGTCGTCGGCGCCCTTCTCCTCTTCACGCGCATCCCGGACCAACAAGCCAAACCCCCAGCGAGAGAAGTGATGCGGCTGCCTTTCCTCTACAAATTCGACCTGGTGGGGTTTATCTTATTTGCGCCGGCATCGATCATGCTGCTTCTGGGCTTGCAGTACGGTGGCAACCACTACGCGTGGGACAGCGCAACGGTGATCGGGCTGTTCGTCGGCGCAGCCGCTGGCTTTGCCGTATTCGCAGCCTGGGAACGCCGAATGGGTGCCGAGGCCATGATTCCTGCCCACTTGGTGTGTAATCCGATCGTACTCTGCAGCAGTCTGCTGTCGATGGCGACCTTCGGGTTCACGATGACGCTGTCGTACTACCTACCGATCTACTTCCAGTCAGTACGGGGTAAATCGGCGCTGGTCAGCGGGGTGGATCTGTTGCCGAACATTCTGTCTCAGTTGGTGATGGCGGTCGGATCTGGGGTGTTGAGTTGAGTATCCTCTCTCTCCAATAAACAACTGAATTGAGCGCGGAGACTAATGTGAGACACAACACCATCCAGTCTCAAAATGGGGCTACTACCTCCCCTGGGCCATCCTAGGCGCCATCCTCAGCTCCGTGGGCAACGGCCTCCTCGCCACGCTGGGACCGCACACGTCCATCCCCAGGTGGGCAGGCTACCAGGCCCTCGTCGGATTTGGACGGGGCGCTATCTCTCAAGTTGTGAGTCCTGTTACCTCTTTCTCGCCCCCTGCCCCCTCCCCGCCCTTTCTGCCAACCAGACCCTGTCCTCGTACATCCAGTTCCAAACTAACACTGTATGGATATCCAATAGCCAATAATTGCCATCCAAGCTACCATCCCCGCCACCTCCACCTCCACCGCAATGGCCATGATGACCTGCGCGCAGACCTTTGGCGGCGCCATCTTCCTCGCAGTCGCGGAGGTCATCTTCGCTCAGGCGCTGCGCGTAGAGATCCCGCGGTATGCGCCAGCCGTTGACGCGGAGGTTGTGATCGCCGCCGGGGCAACGGGGTTTCGGGCGGTGGTGGCGGCGAAGGAGTTGCCGGGAGTGGTGAGGGCGTTTGCCGAGAGTTTGGACCGGGTTTTTTATTTGGCTGTGGGCTTGTCGGTGGTGCAGTTTGGGGTTGCGTGGGGGGTGGGGTGGAGGAGTGTGAGGAAGGGGAAGGGGAAGGAGACAGCGGCGGCTGGGGTAGGGGAGGAGAGGGTGTGATTCTGGTTCAATGTCTAGTTAGTAGGGGGTGGTTGGTCTCTAGAACTATGTGGTCTTGAAAGACAACCTAGATAGAGCGTTCAGGATAGTACTAGCATACTGCGCATTTCATCGGCCAACTGGCAAGGGTTCAATACATTTCAATTCGATCAGAGGATGCGTATTGTGTTGGCGCATATGAAGAGAGGGTGTAACAGCGGCAGATTCGACGAACAAAGGCATTGTATGGGGAAGTCGAATAAAGACGGTGACTCCCTTCGTCTCCGCTTCCCCCCGCTCCCTCCGATCCCGCTCCCTATGTCGAGTTGTAGTAGTTAGTAGTCACTCATTTTCCTAGCTCATAATTTTTTGAAAATGGTCATGCTATTGAAGCACGATCAAGAAAAACAAAGAAAGAAAAGAAAAAAGGAAAACCTTTCTCTTCCAGCTCATTCAACTCAATTCTCTCAGTCCACCGCCCCCCTCTTGTAAAAGGGGCTTTATACACCCAATCCGATGACCGGAGATCTCCTCTATACCTCAAAGCGTAGTAAAGCTTCAGCCACCAGAACCAAAAAGCCAACCAAAGCCAGATATTGAAAAGGGAATCAATCAGAAGAGATGAACAAGTTGAGCTGGACCGCACCTGGGCACTCATAAATAACAACTTTACCCCCCCCCCCCCCGGCCCATTGCGCCTCTTTCCACCACCAACTTCATCACTCGCAACGGCCTTATGGCATGGCATACAAACGACCTAGTGAACCCACTACAGTAGACCCCAACCCCAACGCACCACTTCCACCACCCATGACCCCACCGCTTTTTGGACAGAGAAGACAGAAAGAAAAAAGGTGAACCCTTGCTAAGAACTCTTCGCAGGCTAATAACGCATCAGCAGCAGCAAAACAGCCCGCCCACAACGCACCGACCCCATCCTCACCGATTAACCTTCCACAATCCGCATCCATGGCATCCGACCAGACATACATCTACAAACTGCGCTCCGAGCGGGCCGACCCCGTCACGCAGGCCTACCGACACTACCAACCCTCGCTGGCAGCGCTCTGGATGAACAAGCTCACGCAGATCTTCCCGCCGTACCTGGGGTTCATGCCGTGGCTGGAGCAGACAATGGTACGGGGCACGATGGCCTTCGGCGGCAACACGAGCCAGGTGTATGGGGTGATGACAGTGCGCACCGGCTGGGGGGGCCAGCACTTGACGCTGATCCGCACCGACAGCTCCTTCAAGGGGGTGGACTGGCCCGTCCTGCTGTCGCAGTGGCCCAGCCACAGATACAAGGCGGCGCAGGCGCCGGTGAGCTTTGGCGGCATTATCCAGGGCAGCCAGGTGAAATTCTTTGTCCGGGGCCCCGGCGACCTCATCTTCGATCTGGGGTTGTGGGATGATCCGCGCACCGCCTTCTGTCTCCACACCGAGGGGCCCCAGATCGAGAAAATACTGAGGGAGATCCGCCTCATCGCCGCCCGCCCGGAGCATGCCTGGCAGAACACCCAGCTGCAGGCCAAACAGGGGCTCCTGCCCGTCCTGTACAATAAGTCGGATCGGTGGGACGACCATTTCCCGCCCCGACCGAACGAAATTCTTCGATCGCAGCACGACTGGAAGTGGTTGAGGTGATCCAGGTGAGTATAGGGGGTCGGCTGGCTGTGCTGTGCTGGCTGAAAGGTGATGATGATGGTGAATGAAGAGAGGTGGTAACGGCTGCCACGTGCCTGGTTGCACCGATTGCAGACCCCGTCAATTGTTGTGGCTTGAGCGGGCATAAAAGTGACATTTTTGTGGGTATGGATCGAGATACACTGGATGTTGCTTCGTTGGCGTATATAGGTTGTGTCTCAGTACAGATGCAGTGTTTAGTTTAAAATGACGATATTTTTCTGTTTTTTATAACTTGTGATTCCGCTGTGTTGGTCTTGGACTCTGCTGTGTAGTACCTTAATCCGAGTTATATGTAAGACGTTCCGGGGGAGAACCCCCGGACCCCCCTTTCTTTCAGCTTCCTGGCAGTCCGCATGCTACTATATTCCAGGGCATGAAGCGCTTCCTAATGCCCCATAACCCACAGACTTGGCAGAGCTTGTCCCCAAGAAAGTGCTTACTAACCCAGCCAAGCCTAAGTTAACTAAATACCACTTCCCAAGAAAACAGAGACAAAGCGATAAAAGACAGGACCAGACTGGCAGACGAAATAATACATTCATTCCAACCATTACCACAGAAATACAGCAATAAAACATCGCTAACATCCAAGCACCCTCTCCACCCCCTAATTCTTACATCTCAAACCCAATTCCAGCGCCATGGTCAGGCGACTTCAAGATCCGGTCATACTGCCGGTCGGCCATAAAATCTGCTCGCGCGATCTCCGCAGTGTTGGGATGGTGTGAGCCGTGCTTGTTGTGGTGGTTACCGTGGCGGGTTTCTATTGGTACGTTTAGTAGGTAGTCTACTGAAGCTAGGGACGGTAAGGGGAAAATCGAACCTCCATGGGCGGTGGCGGCAGCTTGAGGTACCTCCGGCGCAGGTCCGGGAGCGGGAGCCTGGTGTTCAACTCCGTGGGAAGGTTGTTCTGGCGCCTTAGGGTGCTGGGGCTGGTGCTGGGGCTGGTGCTGGGGCTGGGGCTGGGGTTGGGACTGGTGCTTGTGGTGGTGGAGGTGCAGAGCGTCTTCGGCCTTGTGGATGAAGTTTGACATGGTGCTGTGGAAGAGTGTATTTCCGGCGAGTGTTCGTGGGTTCGGTAACCAAATTGAGATTGTACTGTGTACTTAGTGGTTCGGGCTTATCTGGTAGACTATGAACTGCGTGGTATCAACGCAATCTTATAGTGCATTCGCATAGCATATGACGTATATCAGTAGCGTAGGTAGTGCGTGAGGGCCCCATGGATGGGTTGAGGTGATGGTGAGTTATCTCCAGTAGTTATTTGACGTCATCACGGGGATATTCTGGCTACAACGCCGAATAAGACCCACTGAACGGCCCGGAACGCGCGGCGTGGAATAACACGCGAGTCGGAGATGCTGTCCCGGTTGCGTCTTGCTGGGGGATTTGGACTGTTTTTGGACTCGTGCGTCAAGCAAGGGTCGAGAGGGGCGGTGCAGCTGTCACCAGCCGCTTTGGGAAATTGAGGTGGAAGGGAACAGCTGCACTAACTTATACCGGTCTCGATGGGAATGCCAGCTGCCACATCTCTTGGTCTCATGCTTGTTTCGGTTGTTAGTCTGGGTTGTATGATAGATGATCCATCCCTGCCCCAGTGGCGACTGACTACTTCTTAAATTTAGGCTACCGCGTGTGTATGAATACATATATCAGCGTCAACACCATTGATTCCTTGGGTTGCTTAGTTGATTAAGATACCTGAGGGCCTCCGTGGAGGGGTTGAAGTTCCTTCCCCCTTGCTCCCTTAGTCAGCATCGCTCACATGCGTCAGGCCGATGCCTCGGTCGATTCCGTTCAACACTATTCCGTAGACCATCCATCCCAGGGACTCACCGCTCCAAACATCGGCAGAACAACCACTCAATCTAAAGCAGCGTACAGTACAGGATCTCATCCGAAATCAACACAATAACAAATTACAGGCAGGTATAAATCCTCATTACTTCCTCATGACCGTAAGTTGCCTTCCACTCCCCTTCCCCTCCCCCCTCGGGCGGCACAACCGCCCAAACTAACTCACACACCTTCTGGCTTCACCCCCTGCGGCTTCACCTCCTTCCGCATAAACGCCGCATAAAAGACTACCTCCGAGCCATCCACTCCCACCTCCGACCACCTCGCCTCCTCCTTCCAAGTCACATACCCGCGCCGCGCATACCACCACTGACTACATCCCTGAAGCGGGGGCTGGGAGCCCGTGCGCGCCCACACCCCGGTCCCCTCAGGCGACTCATCGAGATAGTGCCGCTCGCTCTTCGTCGTGAGCGCCAGGGACCGGCAGTGGGGCTGCTCGACGGTCGCGGCGCGCTCCTCGACGAGATCCATGGCGCGGCGACCGAGCCCCATCGCGCGGTACTCGGGGAGGATGAAGAAGGTTTGGATGGTTAGAATAGAGCGGTCGGCGCGGGCAAGACCCTCGTCGGGGGGGTCGCTGTAGGCGTCGAGGGCGATGTGGCCGGCGCGAATCGTGACCGCTGCCTGGATTGTTGTGGAAGTGGTCGTGGGGTCGGGGATACAGATCCAGAAGAAGCTTTTAAGTCCCTCGTCTTGTTTGAGTTTCCAACCCTCGATCGTCTCGGCTTCGTGGTCCCAGCCGCAGATTCGGCGTTGGCGTTGCATCTCAGCATGCTCGGCGGGGTCGTGGAGATTGATCGGAGTGAGGTGACAGGTGGGTGTTGTGGCCTTCATTTTTTCCCCTTCTGGCTTTGCAGAGACTTCTTTAGTTTATGCTTTAAGAAAGAACAAAAGAAGAGAAAAACAAACGGTATTTGAGGTGGAGTGTGTTATGCGATGTGAGTCTGGTAAGAGGGTCATTGAGTCATTGATAAGGAGGCTCGCCGGCTAGTGCTTACAGTACATGCTTATTGTAAGAGCATTGATTAAGATGGTCCAGTGTGTGGCGAATGCGCAAACACGCTAACATTGATTAAGCTACGGGAAGTTGATAAAACTTTCCCGTCGTGGCACGCGCTAAAAGAACATTCAGAAACATCCATTACCATACTTTTGAACGTGATCTCGTGAACTTGAACTGCAAACACCATTGCACATGATCATTGTTGCGATGGTGACCACTTGTCGATTGCCACCTGCATCAACCTCGCCGTATATTCCACCTGCGCAGAGCGTTAGAAAGCAGTTCCAGCAAACATAAATAAGAACACAACTTACCACCTCAGGATCCATGAGCGTATCGTGATGCGCATGGTCAATTACATGGCACTCAACATTCTGCTCGCCCACCATTTCCGCCCAACCTCCCGGTCCCATCGACTCCCGCGGCGTTTGCAGCCATTCCTGGCTGGTTCGTTCCTGCGTCTCTGGTCCATACTGCTGCAGTATCCTCTCTGCTTCGACAAGCACTGACGGCAGTCGATCGGGATCACCGTGTCCCGCCCAGATCACGAAAATCCGTACCGGACTTCTATCAGTGGAGGCAGTATGCATGGGACGCGGCGAGTACTTCAGCTTGGCCCGAACAGAGGCAAGACTGTGCTGTCGCCGGTAGGAAGGAATCTCCATGTCCGGTTTTCCAGCGCGACGGATTGCGGGATAGAAGCCGACGATCTCCAACAGTTTGACCGAGGGCTCGAGGACACACGGATCCGGGCGGGGCAGCGGCATGTCCAGGTTTATGATGCCTAGCACTGATTGGCCCTGTTGGCGGAGCTGGTATGCCTCTTCGTAGGCGATGATGGCGCCCATCGACCAGCCACCTAGTAGATACGGTCCCTCCGGCTGCCGTTTGCGGATGGTCTTGACGTATATGGCGGCGGCCTCTTCGACTGTCCAGGCGGCGTCGCACTTGGACATGAGGAAAGGTGATCCTAGCGCGTAGACGGCCAAGTCATTGGCGAATTTGGGCAGTGGCTCGTATGAGAAGGCGTATCCCGATCCGGGGGGTGTCATGAAGAGGGACGGCACGCCCGGCTTGGGGGTCCCTTGGAGGAGCGTCAAGAAGCATTCGCGGGGTGGCTCTTCCGCGGCGGTGTCAAAATCAAGCAGGTCGGCGGGGTTGGTAATTGATTGCAACCGCTCAATGATTTTGCTGATTGTGTGTGGTGTGAAGAAGAGCGACGAGGGAAGTGACACTTTTGTCTCTTGTCGGACCTGATTGAGGAGCGCAATCGATGTGATGGAGTCAATTCCCAAGTCGATCAATCGCGTGGCCGGGTTGATATCCTCCCCCTTCGCGAACGCAATCGCGCTCAATAATGATTCTATGACCTTTGAGTTGGAATGCGACTTGAGGGGCTCTAGGTCACTGTTCGATTTCACGCGAGTCGCCTCCAAGTGCCGAGCGTCCTCGAGCACTTGCATCTCTTCGGCAATCGTGTCAGCAGCCATCCAAGCCGATAACGAAACCCTGTTGGCAATGTCCTTCCGCAACTGGCTCTTGACGGAGTCGAGCAAACGAACATCGGCATACGCGGCCAGATTGACGTTCACGTCAATCATCGTCGCGTCGTTGAGCCCGGATGCTCGCGCCCACGCTTGTTTTAACCTGGTCTCCAGCATTGCTCGACTATACAACCTATTGCGCGCTTGCGACTTCCGCTCCGTCCAGTACGCTCCCACCAATTCCGTCAACTTCGATTTTTGGACTTTCCCCGCGAGAGTCCGAGGGTAGTCGCTCAACCCCAGGGCTGACACCGCCACCACTCCTGCCGGGACATAGAGGGCGCCCATCTTGGCCCGGACGGTGTCCTTGAGCTGGCGGGCCCTGCCCTCATCGATATCCTGTCGGATGACAGCAACCGGCACCTCGCCAGCAACCTCATCCGACGCGCGCACAATCTGCGGCTCTAGCACATGGAGCTCGGCCGTCTGGCCCAGCACGGCCTCGATAGCCGACGGCTCGATGTTCTCGCCGCCTCGGATGATGGTGTCGTTATACCTGCCCACCAGGTACAGCCGGCCATCCTCGCCGACGACGGCTTTATCGCCGGTGCAGAACCACCTCTGTCCGTTCTCGTCGGTGTAGAACTTGTCGTCGTCCCGGTTCCCTATGTATCCATTTACCAAAGTAGGCCCGGAGAAATGCACCTCGCCAACGGCGCCCATCGACACGGGAGCCCGGCTGCCCTTGGCACAGATCCTCACCCTGGCGCCCGGCAACGGTAACCCAATGGAGACATCGCGACCACGAATCACCTCATCGACGCTCTCGGCCGCACCGGTCGAAACCGCGATCCCCTCGGTCATCCCGTAGTAATTTTCCACTGCCTGAGCGCCGAGGTGGCCCAAACAGATGCGCAGCACTTCCTCCGTTGGCGGCGCGCCAGCCAGCACGATCCGCTTCAGGGAGGAGAGCCTCTGCGCCGGCGCGATGGCGACGCCACTCAGAGCATGCAACATCGTCGGCACCAGCGCGGTAAAGGTGCAGCGTTCGCGCGTGATCGTCTCGACCAATTTCTCGGGTTGAAAGCCCTCGCTGGGAAACACGACGGTGGCGCCATTGAGGAACGCCGCCATGAGAACCATGTAGCCGAAGGCGTGGTTATTGGGCAGGACAACGGCAACGCAATCACCAGGCCGCATCGGGTGCCGGAGACTCGCACGCCAGGTGCTGGCGGCAGTCGACGGGAAGGCAGAGGCCTGCACGAAGCAGCCTTTGGGCAGGGAGGTGGTGCCACTAGTGAAGAAGATGGATGACTCCACGGTCTGGTTCTCATCCTTGTCCCTCGTGTTCATCGAATCAGATGTAGAGCGCATAACCTCATCAAAGCCAGCCCAATCATTCGCTCCCCCTCCAACCGCAATCAAAACCCACTCCTCCCCCCTCCATTCCCCAATAACCTCCCCGACCCTCTCCCTCAGCCCCTCACCAGCAATAACCACCACCCCCTGGGGATCAACCGCCTCAACAGCCGTGCTCACCATATGCACCGCCTCCCGCTTATGCCCCAAACACCTCGGACTTAGCGGCACATGCACGCAGCCAATCCGATACGCCGCCCACGTTGCAATGATGTATTCGGCCGAATTAGCCGTGAAGAGCATCATTAGTGAGCCCTTGCCGATCCCGCGGGCTTGAAGGGCGGTCGCGAAGCAGTCGACTCGCGCGGATAGGTCGCGGTAGGTCCAGCGGAGGCATTGTGGGCTGTTTGTGTTTGCTCTGGTTTTTGTGGGTTGGTTGGCATTAGCGCTGTAAAGGTCCGGCGGTTGATGCGAGCAGACCAAGGCGAGTGTGTCGGGGTGGGTTTGGACGATTTCTTGGAACTGGCCGTCTAGGGAGGGGAATGGTTGCGAGGAGGAGGAGGAGGAAGAGGAAGAGGAGCGATGGAGAAGCGGAGCACCGCGGAGGTCGCTTGCTTGAACCATTTTTTTTTGTTTGTTCGGGTATTCTTCTCTTCCTCTTACGGGTACAAAAGATAAGGCAGGGAGCTGGAGGTGAACCAACTCTAGATTAGATGGGGTTGATGTTGCTGTGATCGGGGAAAGGGAATACTTTAAGGCGCACAACTAACGGGTGAGAGCTAGGCTTTGCTAATTCCTTCTGCTTTGGATGCTCAAGCTGCTAGCTGCTGTGGAATTCCGGTGAATCCAGGCACTCACCCCTAAGCCACGTGCAATTATTTCTCCATGGCATTGGAGGGGCAGGCGAGAAGGCACTATTGACTCTAAATGTAGATGTGGCGAGCTGCATTGCTTTGCCTGGCATCTTCGGTGGGGGGGGGATCTGGCCTAGTTCAGGCCCTCAAAGTAAAACGATCTGCGGTACCGTGCATATCGTGAGTTCTGTGTACGTAGTACGGAGTAGGTCAGTACGAGTAGTCAGTGAGAGTGGGGCGACGATCCAAGGTCTTTCTTGGGTATACTTCCGGTTGCTCATGAGGAGAAAATGATTGACGTCTTGCTCCGGAGTATAACATCAAATATTTCCAAGGATGGAGGAGGATCATACTCATCATCTTCCCCCTCAGACAAACTCAGCTAAAGAATATTCGGCATAGTACATTTTTCTTCCCTCCACAGCCCATTCCTGGGACACCATATCCAATTCAAGACCGAACCTCATACTCACCCATTACAAATCAAGATGGAAAACTCCAAAAATACACTATACAAAGCACCCGAGATCGTCCTTCTAGACAACCCGATCTGTCCGATTCTCCCGAGCCGAGCTGAACAAGTGGATCCCCGAATTGTCTCGATCAAGCGGTAGTTCGATACAGGTTTGTTACACCAAGCCACAAAACACATTCTCCAGACCTAACTTTTTGACTTGTCAGCCCAACAAGAAAAGCATTTTCGAGAGCGAAGCAAGAAAGTCCCGACGTGATTGCCGTGTCATGCAGGCGTATCGTCCCCCGTTCTTGGGAGAGGTGGGGAGGAACAGAGGGGTATGATGCCGTATCGTTACGTGACAGTGAGCCACAAAGGTTTAAGTATGTGATGGATGTCAGCTTTGCAGTTCAGCTCAGCTAGAAGGGCTCTGTATGAGGAGAATAGCTGGGCTAGCTGGGCTTGCATCATGCATCGCTGATCGCTTCGGTGTCAGTGTCAGTGTCAGTGCCACTGTGCCTACTGCGTACATCCCACGTCACCCCCTTTTTCTGGAAGAAGCATCACAGCAAGAGAATTTCAAGATTCCACCCATGGAACAAAAGCCATTCCCCACGGGTAGATCCAGATTTTCCAATGGTTCGTTGCAAGTGGGGTCCAGCAGTGGCCGATCTATCCTTATCGCAGATTAGCTTGGCTGGACTGGAATGCGCTAGAGAGCGGTGAAGAGTCTGCAACAATGCGCCAAGAGTTTGCGAGATTAAGGATCGTGTTCCAAGTTTTTGTCCACCCTCTATGATCATTATACCTAGGTCAATTGTATTGTATAGGCCTCGAGAAAGTATTCATCGGGAATGTAAAGTTTCACAGTTCGACCTTTTCCTCCTTCGGGAAAAGCACAATTCCCCCAACAATCACGGAGAGGACTAGAGCCGATGCTATTCCGATTCGTCAGAACGTCATTGCGAATGAATGAGGTGGGGACAGACATACCCGGAACTAATCGATAAGCCTCGATATACCCCTTCTGCACCACAGTCTGAATGGTTGACGGCAAGGTGGTGGTGAAGTTATAGTCATGCACGATGTGATCGATCAACTAGCCGGCCCAGGTCTCAATATTAGCAGCTTGACAAGAGTTCTAATGGGAGGAGCTCAATTACCTCCCGCTTTCCTGGCATGTCTCCCAGTCCCGCATTTACGCGCAAGCGGAACAGCTGCTGCAGCGCGGCCGCGCTGACACTCGTTCCCACGATCTGGCCCACCTGCTGCGAGAGATGATACACCGCGATAGCACTGGCAAGCTGCTCGGTAGGCGCACGAATGGTCAAATCGATAAATTGTGCCGAGAGCAGAATGCCGCCGCCGACGCCCCAGGGAAAGCAATAGAGGACTTCCAATGGGCGGATGCCGTGGAGCCAGCGGATGACCATGAGCGTCAGTGATAGGGTAGTGATGCCGATGGCGATGAGAGAGATTTTGCGAGGCTGTAGATCTCTGCGACCAGCGTTAGACATGTTCTGTTGCGAGGACATTGGTGACCTCACCTGCTCAATGTTTTGCCGGCAACGATCGATCCTGAAATTAGACCCAGGGCAGCGGGCCAGATGCGTATGGCAATGGCGGAGTTGGATAGATGGTCAATTCGATAGAAATAAGGCGGTAGGTTATTCAAAATCTGTTGCCAGTAGTCAGAGAGGTCTAGAAGATGACTGCTAGCGTGAATTTACAGTGGTGACGGTGGCAAAGTAGACAATCTGGCCACAGAATATGCCGGACAGTCCGGGCGAGCACACCACAGAAGGCGGTATAATCGGATATCGAGTCCCAAATCGCTCAATAAGGACGAATATCACAAGAAACGCGCTCGAAACAGCGAGCAGGGCTGGCGTCTGCGATGTGAGATATGAAATACCCCCCTCCGTGGTCGCTAGAATGAAAGATGTGACCAGGATGAAGAAGCTGGCAACGCCAAAATAATCAAAGTTCCATAGGCTCAACCCTTTGTTGGAGCGACTCTCAATCGTCGGGGAGGCTGAGAATTGCCACTGTGCGAGAGCTAAACACAACACCGCAATGGGAGTTTGCCCGATCAAAGACCTAACCTCCGTGTCAGTATCTGAAATTACTTTCACCCCCAGGCCGGGCCCCTACCATCTCCAACCGACCATGTCGGCGACTAGTGCACCCAAAGGTCCTCCGCAGCCCTGCCCCACGATGCCAGCTGCGATGATGTAGCTTCGCACCGATGCAACTTGGGTGATGTCAAACATTTCTAGCTTGGAGTTAGCATTGCAATCATACTCCGCAGGTCTGTAGGTAAGACCGTTCACCAGGACCGAAAGTAAATCGGTCATGCCAGCACCGCCCATCCCAGAGATCAAGCGACCAAGCACAAAAGGCCATAATGTTTCGGCGATGCCACTGTTGACAGACATTAATATAGGCAGCAACCTCAGCCTTCAGGCCACTCACGAGATCAAGCATCCGACCGCGAACAGGCCATACGCCGACAGGAGGAATTGGCGACAGCCGTAAATATCGCTCAGAAAGCCATACTAGATCATTCTCAACCATTAACGTTCTGCTGAACGACGAGTCCACAGTGAACTGACCACAGGCAGCGCGATGCAAAATCCCACATTGTAAATTACCAGAAGCAGCGATGCACTGGCCGGAGAGTGCAGCGAGGATGCGATCTCTCCTTGAGTCGCTAGCAAAATCGACTTGTCTGCGCTTGCAAGAAAGACACCTGCTTTCCTCAATCATTTCTTCTCATTCCGGATGCAAAGTCAACCTGTTAACTCACCAACTAAACCAGCTAGGATCTTACTGATATCGGCCTTGCTAGACGGCCGACGGTCGCCTTCGCCCAGCAACGGAGTCTGTTCATGCGCCATGATGGTGGGAATGAACTAGAAACGCCCAAGCTGAGCACAGACGGAGTGGCGTCCTATTATCACTGCGCTCGAAACACCGAGTCGGGCCAGTCTCGGGGACCTCAGGCAGGAAAGTTAGGGTAACAATCCTAGACGGAAATGGGCAATGCACCGGACGATCGTCAAGCCACCATGCAGCCAAGACAATAGTTCACGATTATCTCTGACACCCTGTCACAATCTGTGACAGAAATCTTCCGATTGTTACCGCTAAGGGACCCACTAGTGGATCGATCGCAATGGCGCTTGACGGCATCCGATCGTCAACAAGACTTGCGCAGTGCACAGAGGGCAGACTGCAATGAGGGCGGCTCAGCAGCCAGCTTCCGATCTGCAGCAAAAGGGGTCCGTGTCTGCAGCAACAATCACTAAACCATCCATGATCCTATTATAAACCCAAATGGTCCGCTGACAAGGATCCTCATCTTCCACATTTTCCACAATTAGGCCTGAACATAAGCGCAATGAATTTCTTGACGCGATCACTCACTACCCCGTCAGCGGCGGCGGAAACAGCCCCCTCAACAGGAGTCGAGGTTCTCATTCAAATTCGACAGCAATACCCCGACATTCAATTCCTGCGATTCCAATGGCAGGACTACTCTGGAGTCCTTCGCGCCCGTGTAGTACTCCTTGACACCGCAATAGCACAACTCACCGAGGGCAAACCAATGAAAGCGACTGGCCTCGCGCTCACCTGCTCCGTCGACAATCACCTCATCCCCGGAACCCCAACGGATGCTCAATACTGGCTTGTGCCGGATTGGACGACGCTGCATCCCACCGTCGCACCGGGCAGCGCGCAGGTGCTCTGTTCGCTGGACTACACCCTCCCAGGGCAGCCAATGACTCAAGCCCTCTGCCCACGACACACCCTTGCACGAGTGCTCGAGCAGGCACAGTCCCGCTGGAATCTGTCATTCCTCGTGGGTTTCGAAGTAGAATTCGTGATCATGAAACCAGACCCTGCGACCGGTAAGCTGGAGCGCTACAGCCGAGGCTGGGGGCTGTTCTCTGTGGGAGGTCTGCGCGACCCATGCTACCAACACATTGAGCAGTGTGTTTTGAAGCTGCACGCACGCGGGGTCGACATTCAAGCGATTCACACCGAAGGCGTCCGGGGTCAGTACGAGTTTGCCCTGGGGCCAAAGCCGCCTATGCAGGCCGTCGACCAGCTCATCCTGGTGCACAGCTATTTGAAAGACACGTTCACACCGCTTGGATGTACGGTCACCATGACCCCGAAGCCCGTTGTAGGCGACTCTCTGGCTAATGGCCAGCACACACATCTTTCACTCCAGCCAGCCAGCCCGCAGCTCGAGGCCTCTTTCCTGGCGGGTATGCTGAAGCGTCTACCGAGTCTGTGCAGCTTTTGCCTCCCGCAGGATGTGTCATATGAGCGACTTAAGCCGTTCGTGGGTGGCGCAGATGCCGTGTGCTGGGGCACCGAATGTCGGCTGGTTCCTGTGCGTAAGATCGAGCCGAGTCGCTGGGAGATTCGATGCATCGATGCCATGGCCAACATGTATCTCACATTGGCGGCGATCATCGGGGCGGGGTTAATGGGATTGAACAGTCAGGAGCCGTTGGTGTGGCCGGATCTGGGAGATCCGGCAAATGCGACCGCGGCGCAAGGGGAACCACTGCCAAAGACGCTGGATGAGGCATTGGACGTGCTGGAAGCGGATGCAGGAGAGCTCGCGATGGTCCTCGGTCGGCCGATCATCGATCTTTATGTCAAGACAAAACGGTTCGAGGTGGCTTCGCTGGCGAAGCTGGATCCGGGAGAGGTGAGGGAGTTGTTCCTTGAGTTGTACTGAGGACGGCGGGCCGTCTTTTGATATCTTGGGATATACAGATGTGGAAGATGAGTATCTAGTATGTTAATTATGTTGGGCCTGCGCACCATTTCCTGTCCATCCCAAGACCTAGAAGTCATTCAGGATGATGGCCTGAGGGTCTAATTCCATAAGGTACATTCCTTAACCTAAAGCCGAGCAGAGATTGTCAGTGTGATGATTTATGAAGGTGGATCAAGGTGGATCGAGGGAGAGGCATGTACATGGATACGAGAATATACACCCTGTCACTCCCGTTCAGATCAAACGGCAAGCCCACGCACAGTTAATAGTTCGACATTCATACCAGGTTTACAAATCATGGCTGGAAATCCCGGGTCTTCAAACTTATTGCTCAAAATTGGCGAACTTCGCACTGTGTTTGTGGATTTAGCGGTACTCAAGCAATTCAGGCTCAGTTTTTGCATGATATTTAGATAAATGTGAAGAGTTTATCACATAAGCATCATTGGTCTAGTGGTAGAATTCATCGTTGCCATCGATGAGGCCCGTGTTCGATTCACGGATGATGCAAAACTTGTTCCGAAGGTTCGCCTTACAGAGTTCTCTTTTTGTTTTGTCTCAGAAGACTCACGCATGCATGCATGCCATTAGCCTTGCAAGCATAGGTTAGGCGCATTGTCTGTGCTTCAACTGTGAGAGGGAGAGGCGTAGCCCAGTTCATGATAGCAAGACATATCAATTCTATTCAATTCAAATTCTATTGACCTCGGGGGGCCCCTGGGGCCCCCCGAGCCCGCCTATTGCGGCTAGCTATGAAGGTGCTTCCTTGCAGCCCAAGAATTGTCCAGTACGCCTAAACCCTCAAAAATATGAATCAACGCATTCCCACTACAGAACAGCGGTTGTCCGGCTGTTCTTGTTCCTTCTGTGTACTGTGTATAGTCTGCACCCTTCCCATGACCAACGGGCTGGTTGTTCCAATTACACATCGTCTTCAGCGCCTATTCCCATTGCCCGTAGGCCTATTCCTTCCTCACTGTCCCCGGCATCAGCCGCTCATACGTGGTTGAATTGCCCCAGTAGGCCTGTTTTGATTATGAATTCGGCAACGTAACGTGTTGCCTGCGGGTGTGATACCAGTATATCATAGTCAGTCAGCTGCCCGCGCTGCAGGTGCTGGCCCTCCGTTCCCCCAGCCAATATCCGTGTGAACATGGCTTGTCGGTCCGCTGCAATCCACGTGCATTCAAGCAGAATATGCTTTGTTGTCTGTAACCGCCCGCACATGCATCTACCTGTCTCGTGGGCTTTGATTTCCCAAAGGAAGCGGGCAAGCCCAATCCTTTCAGTTCGTAGCTGTATAATCACCGCTCCGTATGCCTTGGGTAACGCATTATACAGGCCAAAATTCCGTAAGCTCGCTTGCGGGCTCGCTTAGCAGCCCCGCTGAGGTTGATCCGACTTCACCCTCTGAGCCTAATTTAACCTCACCCCCTGAGCTTAATCCAACCTCATCCCCACCACTGCAGGCAGCTCGCTTGGCCGCCTCGTCGGCCCTCTCATTCCCGGGCACCCCAAGTGCGCGAGCACCCAATGAAGCTGTATAGGTCTCGCCAGTTGGTGGGCCTGTTCGTAGATCCACCGTATAATGAACTGCCCCGACGGGCGGCCTGGATTGTCCACGGCTCTAAGTGCGGCCTGTGAATCACTGAAGAGATGGATAGGATCAAGCTGGGTCATCTTCGCTGCCAGGACCAGTGCAATCTTCCGTAAATCCCTTGCATAGACTGTTGAATCTTACTCGGTTCCTAGATGGCTCATCTGCTCGTAGCCCCCCCGGGCGCTTACCGCTGCACCCCCGATCCCCCCATTGAAACCACTTCCATCTGTGTATACTATAGTAGAGAGGCCTGTTAAAGATAAAGTAGATCAGTTAGGTATAGAATAATAGCAGTTCCTATTCTCATAGATACAGGTAGATTTCAGGTCATTAACGTCACGACTATTGCATCAATGATACGTGGGTGGACCGACGGCGAGCCGACAGGGTCACGGCGGTTATCCATGACAAGATCGTCGTTGTGATCAAAATAATCAACCAGGCAAAACTAATACCCGTAGTATATATGCTGCAATGACGGACCCTACACTTCCTAAACTGTGGGAATATCCCGATCCTTTCTATTAGTATAATAATCCCTAATTTAACTATATTTCTCTGTATAAGCCGTCTTATATAGGCCACCATCCCACTTATAACTCAGACCTATGGACTTTTAAACAAATTTTTGTATATTCCCCAGCAACCTATTGGATTTATTAAGAAACTTTCTAAGGATTCTATTAACTCCTATATTAAAGATCATGAAGAGGCGTATACAGTAGAAGTCTATATATAATCAGTAGAAGACACTATATATGTGATCAATCGCTATATGCGATAAGGTGATCATGAGGAAGTTGTTCATTCAATGCAGGGCCTGGGAGGCCGGAAGGTTAAGTATCCTACGCCATCGATGCAGGCGATACAGGAAGGCGCGGAGGCCTCAATACACCAAGCCGTGGAGGCGGCGGTCACAGTTGCCCTCGCCAAAGAAAGACGGATCGTCCTCGATGCTATATACATATAGACGGGAATACATGAAGACAATATAGGTATATCGAAGTTACAACCGATGGAACTGATAAGAATATGGAAATGATGAAAAGACGAATAGTCAGTCGAAACCCTCTTCGAAGACACGGACAAGGTCGGGTGAGTTGAGATTGTATTCACATATCCACTGATCATGTTCTGGACTGTAGCCGAGCCAACGGACCAAGTACTCGGCGTGCATAGGACCACCTCCATGTCGACGTACGTGTCATGAATGACGAGGGGTTCTCATGATTGAATCGATTGATGATGAAGCTGTCTTTAGAATCAACGGGGCGGAACCACGAGATATCCGCCAAAGGCGGAACCATCTGGCAAAACCACCGGCCATCATGCCGGGAGGTTATCGCCTTAGGCGATTCACTACAGTACGCGTTTATTAAGAATGCGTTCGACTTCCCACTGGTCTTCGGCTTCGTCGACCGCGGGTGGTTCAAGTGGCTGGCGGCCAAACGGGTCGACTCCTCGAGGTGCGGGTTCAAGCTGCGACACTGATATGACGGGGTGGATTTTGAACGTGTCCGGTAACTTGAGACGGTATGCGTGGCGTCCGACGCGTTCGAGAACATCGAAAGGGCCGGAGAACTGATATCCCAGCTTGCGTGGGACGTCCCTAGCTGCAGGCACATTGTATCCCTTGTGCAATCTCAAATACACCTTGTCGCCCACGTCGAACTGCATGGGTTTGTGCCTGGCGTCGTACTCACGCTTCATATGGACTGCGGCGTATTTGATGGCATCTTCGGCATCAAAACGTGCAGACACAAAGTCTTGGTATGTTCGTGTCGGCGTAAGCGACTTCAGCAAACCGAGCGGCTGATTGAGCTTCATGCCATACATGACTTCATGTGGCGTACGACCTGTTGAGGAATGGACGGATCCATTAAAGGACGCGATGAGGTTCGGCAACTGCGAAACCCAGGACAGCCCCTTGGTGGTGGTATGCCGCAGCATAACTTCCAGGGACTGAATCGTACGCTCCGAACTACCGTCTGTCTGGGGATGGTGAGCGGTACTGAATAGCCATTGACACTTCAAGCCGTTGAAAAGACCACGAGACACGTCAGCAACAAAACGTCGGTCTCGGTCAGAAATCCACACGCGCAGCACGCCCCAGTCGTGGGCTTGCAGGTACGCTAGGATTGTTCTTCCCCATTCAAGCGCCTTCCAGTCGGCCTTGCCTGGGATACACCCCACTCTTTTAGTGAATTTGTCCATTAGGACAAGCAACTGGTTGAATCCGTTACACAGGAAGGTCGGTGATGAAATCAAGAGTAACGGTGTGAAATGGTATAGGGGGCGAGACGATAGGCTGCAAATCGCCATACGGCTTGTGTTTGGGGACTCGATGTAAACGACAATCAGGGCAGTACTGTATATAGTCACGTTGAAGACGTCGACAACGGTAGAACGTCAATCCTTCCAAGGCGTCAAGACACTTCTGCAGGCCTTGGTGGCATCGGTCGTTGTGCACCATGTGGAAGACGTCTTGGGCGAGACTGCGTGGCAGGTATAGCCATGGCTCCTCGCTTAACACAGTGTCTTCGTCTTCGCTATCTCGATGCACGCCGTATTTGAGCATGTATAGGAGACCATCATATTCGACGTAAGGGAGAACGGCGGGATTCGCTGCTTCGGTATTGCTGCGGAGGACGTTCAGGATCTCGGATGCGCGAGGATCCGACGCATATCCTCGTCTTACTCGGTCCTTGAACTCGTCAGACATATGCAAGGACGTGGCGAATGAACGTTCGAACATGTGCGTCGTAAACGCTTCGACCGGGTTAAATGTCTCAGCGTCTTCGTCGATAGACATCCCGTCTTCGATGTTGAGGACGAACGCGTCTTCTGCGTAGTTGTCCAGGTCGACGTCATGAGGCAGGGGGTCACCTCCCTTCCGGGGAAGACGAGACAGAGCGTCTGCCACGATATTCGTGACACCCGGCCTGTGGCAGATACGGAGAGCAAACTGCTGCACGTATTGTGAGGCACGAACAAGACGCAGATTCAATTTCTCGACCGCGACGGTGGTATGCAGAGACGCGGTGTTGTGAGTACAGATGCCGACAGTAGACGCATGGTCGGTAAAGACGATGGGTGGCTTGGACGCGGACTCAATCATATGGCGCAGCTTGTGGATCGTCCACACAAGACAGGCGACTTCCATCTCGGTAGGCCAGTAGCGAGTCTCCGCGGGGCGTAGAAGGCGACTCATGAATAGAACCGGCTGTACCTTAGTGTGAGGAAGCGGAGTCGGTTTCTCACCGGGGGCGATTAGGTGCTCAGGGGCGTGGTATGCCATGACGCCATAGCCTCTTTTCGACGCGTCGAGGTCGATATATAACTGATCGTCAGGATCGAAATGAGAGAGTATGCAAGGATTGGTGAGGTCATGTTGGAGTGCTTCAAAGGCGTCAAGTTTGTCTTTGGTAGGCTCGACCGGCATACGAGCCGAATAATCCTATCTAGGACGTTCCTTGGTAGGACCACCTTTCAACAAGACCGTCTTCCGCTGTTGGAGTGGAGCGATTTTCTGCGCGTATCGACATATCCGATGTCGAAAGCAGCCCGCCAAGCCGAGGTAGTGTTCCAACTCAGCAAGGGTACGAGGGAACGACAGAGCACGCAGTGCGGTAAGCTTCGACTCAGGCGTGACAAGCCCGAGGGCGTCGACTCGTAGACCAAGCACTTTCGCCGACGGGAACGCAATAAATGCCT